TAAGTGTTCAGGAATACTCATACTTCGCAATGTTGTTCATAGCTTGTCATGATTCATACAATCAAAAGTCTTTGTATAGTCAATAAAGCACAGGTAAACATCTTTCTGGTATTCTCTACATTCAGCCAAGATCCTTTGGACATCAGCAATGATATCCCTCATTCCACATCCTCTTCTGAATCTAGCTTGAACCTCTGGAAGTTCTCTGTCAATGTATGATTGTAGCTGTTTCTGTACTTCCTTTAGTAAAACTTTACTCTCATGGGTTATCAAAGAGATTGTCCGATGATTTCCGCATTCTGTTGGGTCACCTCTCTTTGGCATGGGCACAAATATAGATCTCTTTCAATCAGTTGGCCAGATAGTCATCTTCCACATTGCTTGGCAGAGATGAGTGAGTGCCACCAGTGCTGCCTCACGTTCTTGAAAGATTTCAATTGTATGAGAAAAACAGGTGTCTTCCCTTATCTTCAAATACCTGGTCATCCTCAAGTAGCCAGTCCTCCTCGAGTACTATCTGAGTGTGGAACTTGCATGATTACAAATGAGAGATTTCTCTTCATATGGTTGGTTCAGGCTTCTTTAAGAGACATTCTTGATTTTGTTCTGCCTAATAACCTGGAAGACCGAGAGCCCTAGAGCTGAGACCTAGAGATTTTTTTTTTTTTTTTAATCTCCTTTTGGTTCTGCCTTGCTGGATTTTCTTGGTGAGCACAGTACCTTGTCTCTGAGAGCCTGTTTCCTTATTTGGCTAGGATTGGTTGATCTAGACAGATACCCACTGGGGTCCTTTTTCTGGGAGTCAGAGGCAGCCAGTGGAGGGGTGCCCAGGCAGGGTTAGGTATGGCCACATATGATCTTCAAACACTCAGGCCCATAGAGACTGTGAAGGCATTTCTTTCTGGGCAAGGCTATAGAGACAAGATCTTTCACTTTCCCAGGAGTGAGAACATTTTCTGAGCTGAAAATCCTGGGGCTGGTGCCATCTGATACCCTTCTTTTAGATGCAGCGGTGGCCCCCTCCCAAGGGAGCCATGGGAGAATTCTAAGGAAGCAGAGAGCTCTGGGCCCTAACCTCCCAGCCAGCCTCCTAGGCCAGGCCAGGCCTGGATCTCCCTCCCAGTCTGAGTGTGTCTGGGTATTTGGTGAGCAAGGGAAGGTCACAGGAGTTCTGTTTTGAGGATGTCCCTTTAGTGGATTTACATCCCTGTTTAGTCCTCCTCTGTGTAAGGCTTTGTAGGTTAGAAAGAACAGAAAGCTTTAGGTACAGGACTGGGGGAGGAGCTTCCAATTTCATTTGACTTTAGACAAAGACCCTGGGGTCTTTCCTGAACTACTTACTTGGTATCAGATTCCTTGAAAGCATTGAGATTTCACTTGAAGAAAAGACCCCTCCTTGATTTTGCGGCTTTTCTTGGACTGCAGGCTATGATGTTTGCCGCATGTCAGTTGTCTCTCAGCCAAGAGATGTCTGTGAATAGCTAGGGTACAAATAGGACCTCTTCTGCATTGCTCATTTCTCAGTTTCCTTTTTCTTGACCAAAGCAGAAAGGGAGGCAATCTGTCAGTGTAGTGTGTCTATGTTCATTGTATAAACCTACATGATTCTAAACTTGATATTTTCCAGGCAGGTTTCTTTGGGGAAAGTAGGGAGTTTGTGTTTCATCCCTCTCTGGGCTTTATCCCTTCTTTTTCTAGGTCTTGAGAGGACTTGAACCACTTGCCTCTAAAAGAGTTTAGAGTAGTAAACAACTTAGCCTACACCAGAAATGTTTCTAAAAAGACCAATATATCTTTCAGAACAAACAGTTTTTCTAAGAGAACATATTAAACAACTAGTGAAAGTTATTCTATCACAGAAGTCCTGCAGAGTGACTGCTGAACTGGGAAATGACTCTGTCACCATCCCAGAATCATTCTCAGGGCCAGGGAAGAGCACTTCCGGAAGTGCATTCTTGGCAGCAATCAAAAAAGAAGTGTGTATGTGTGTGTGTGGCGGGGGAGGGAGTGGATGGATATAAAGGCATATCCTGGAGATATTGTGAGTTTGATAACAAACCACAGCAATAAAGCAAGTCACATGGATTTTGTTTTTGGAGGGAGGTAGGTTTCCCAATGCATACATATAAAAGTTATGTTTTACACTATAGTATTCATAGTTTTGTGAAGTCCTGGTGTGGGGCTGAAGGATAAGCACTGGACCACAAGATCAGTTTAAACCCCAAGGTCGGCAGTTCAAATCTCCCAGCCACTCCCTGGAAACCCTATATAGGGTCGCTATGAGTCAGAACCGACACCACTTAGCAACAACAAGAACAGTTAATAGTTTTGTGCAATAGTTTTATGGAAAAGTTTAAATGTTGTGAGAATTACTACAACGTGACTCAGAATGAAATAAGCACTTGTTGGAAAAATGGCGCCAAGAGACTTGCTTGATGCAGGGTTATCACAAATCTTCAATTTGTTAAAAATGCAATTATCTGGGAAGCACAGTAAAGCAAGGTATGCCTGTATATGTGTGCAAACAATTGGCATTCCTCTATTAAAATAAAGATTGTCAGTTCAAGCCCACCCAGAGGTCCCATGAAAGGAAGGCCTGACCATCTGCTTCCGTAAGATTACAGGCAAGAAAACCCCGTGGAGCACAGTTCTACTATAAAATTGCCATGAGTTGGAATGGACTTGACAGCAATGGGCTTCATTGGCTGTTGTTGTTTAAACACACATACACACACCCACACAGAGAAGTCTCTTTCCTCGCCATGTATACAAAGTCATTTACAAGAATTCTCTTTGACCTTGCTGAGAAGTAGGAGACATTATGCCAAGTACTTTACCTGTGTTTTCTTCCTCGATTCTTGCAAAAAACCTAATATGTAGGCACATATTGGCACCATTTTCTAAATGGGAAAAACAAATAAGCTGGTCTTACTCTAGAATCTTACTAGAGTTCACATAACTTACCAGTGGGAGCCTGGGTCTAATTGCTAATTTGTGAAGCTCTACATCACATGGCTTTGTGGGGATGAAAGGTTATTGAGCTCAGGTACCAGTAACTAGCCAGTCACCTGTGGAAACTAATTCTGAAAAATAGGAGAATTTTGTTCAGATAAGCAACTAATAGAATCAGAACTCAGGTGCCTCGTTCAAGTGTTAGCTTCAGTTACTTGACTTGACGTTGTCACTAGATTGTCTGAATGAAAAGGTGGCCAGCCAGAGGGGCTGCTTCTTGTTTGTGTCCCACTGGTGTGGCACGCTGTGGGTTAATGCGCCACACTGCGAAGTCGTTTGAACTGCAAGGTCGGTGGTTCAAACGCACCAGCTGCTCTTTGGAAACCCTGTACAGGGTTGCTATGGGTCGGAATCGACTAGACGGCACTTCACAACAGTCAGAGAAGGCTGTTATTTGCTATTGTTTGTTTTCATAGACTTTGTGTTTTAGAGCAGTTTTAGCTTACAGAAAATTGAGCAGACAGTACAGAGAATGCCAGTATGGTTCCCTTCTCCCAATGCTGTTTCCCTTATTAACTTGCATTCCTGTGGTACATTTAATGGACCAATATTAATACACTCAGGAGCATGGTGGCTCTGTAGTCTAAGCACTGGACTGCAAAACACAAGGTTGGTTAGTTCGAGCCCACCAACCACTCCAAGGCAGAAAGATAAGGCTTTCTGCTCCCACAAAGATTTATATCCTCAGAAACTCTATACAGGGTCTCTCTGAGTCAGAACCAACTCAACAGCAACAAAATTGATGCGTTATTATTGGTTATTAACTAAAGTCCATAGTTTACATTAGGGTTCACTCTTTGTGTTGTGTAGTTCTATGAACTTTGACAAATATGAAGGGGCTTCAAAAAGTGCACAGAAAAATGAAATGAGAAGATAATGGAGCTTTCCCACGAACTTTTTACATAATGTCATGTGTCTACAATTACAATATCATGCAGCATCATTTCATTCCCCAGAAAATGTCCTGTTCATCTCTTCCCTTCCTCCGAGCTCCTGGCAACCACTGATCTTATATTGCCTCTATAGTTTGGCCTTTTCCAGAATGTTCTATAATTGGAATCATACGGTATATAGTCATTTCAGAGTGACCTCTTTCACCAAGTCATATGCATTCAAGGTTCTTCCGTGTTTTTTCTTTCATAACTTGATAGCTCTCACTCTCTCTCTCTCTTCTTTTCCATCACTGAGTAAATACTTCATTATATGGCTGTACCACAGCTTTTAAAGGATACCCGGGTTGCTTTTAATTTGGGGCACTTATGAATAAAACCACCATAAACTGATTTGCTTTTGAAATTCTTTATTTTACTATATACCAGTACCATGATGATAAAAGAGGTAGAAATAATGCTTAAAGTTTTATAAAGGTGGAAGTGAAGTCTTACAGTAATGATGTCAGTCACAGGTAACCAAGCCAACCACTATTCTAACAACTTCCCACAGCAATCTTGAGATCCAAGCGCTATTATTACCCACATTTTACAGCTAGTGAGTGAAGATAAAGTCATGTTCAAATAGATCTATCTGTCTGACTTCAGAGCCTAACCACAGTGCTTTACTGCTCCTCAGTGAGGTGGGCATTTTCCAAATCCCAGAGACAGTAGAGACAGACCTGAGGCCTGAAACACACACACATACACACAACACAAAACTGCTCTCTCTCAAAACATGTTTGTGATGAAAAACAGTCCACGCCTTCTGGGCAACTTCCTAAAGCTATTTGCTCTGAAAAAATATGTTTATGACTCGGGAAAAGTACAGGAAACCATGGCTTGTAAACTGGAAGACTAGCCAGAAAAAAAAAAGGTCTTTTTAAGTCCATAGATACTTTCTGGATAGGTCATTTGTGCACAGGTGTGACTGTTTGTGATGTGTGGTTTGGAAAAGAAAGTCAAGTCTAAGGGCATTGACTTGGGTTCTTTAGCTGCTTCCGAGATTAGTCCAAAGCTTTACTTCCATGCCGTTCTGATGTGCTTCTTTCTCCCCAGATAAGCCAGACCCTCCAGCTGGCACGCCTTGCGCCTCTGATATCCGGAGCTCCTCGTTGACCCTGTCCTGGTATGGCTCCTCGTATGATGGGGGCAGTGCTGTGCAGTCCTACAGTGTCGAGATCTGGGACTCAGTGGACAAGATGTGGAAGGATCTGGCCACATGCCGCAGCACCTCGTTTAGTGTCCAGGACCTGCTGCCTGACCGCGAGTATAAATTCCGTGTGCGTGCAATCAACGTTTACGGAACCAGTGAGCCAAGCCAGGAGTCTGAACTCACAACCGTGGGAGAGAAACCCGAGGGTAGGCGGCCTTCCTCTCCTCACTGACTTGCAATGTGTCCAATTTACGTTTTGTATACAGAAGCCAAAAGGGGTGTCGAGGAACTGAAACAGTTTGTCTAGGTCTTTTGAGATCTTGATTTATAACTTGTGATGCTGATTTATATATTTTTAAAGTATATGTTGTTGTTGTTGTTATCAAGTGCCTTCATGTTGTTGTTGTTATGTGCCATGAAGTCAGTTCCGACTCATAGCAAACCTGTACAGGGTTTCTGAGGCTGTAAATCTTTTGGGGAGCAGAAAGCCTCATCTTTCTCCTGTGAAACAGCTGGTAGTTTCGAACTGCTGCTGACCTTGAGGTTCGCAGCCCGATTTGCAACCACTACGCTATCAGAGTTCCTTTCAAGTGCCTTTATAGTGACCCTGTATAGGGTTTCCAAGGCTTTAAATTCTCATGGGAGCAAAAAAGCATCATCTTTCTTTCTCCCTCAGAGCTGCTGGTGGGCTTGAACTGTAGACCTAGTAATTCATGGTCCAGTGCTTATCATATGGATCCACCACTCAAACCTTCTTGTTGTTGTTATTAAGTGCCATCAAGTTGGTTCTGACCCATAATGACACTGTTAGGGTTTCTGAGGAGTGGCTGGTAAGCTTGAACCACCAACCTTGTGTTTCAAACTGACTTTGCAGTCCAGCCCATTAACCCACAGCAGCACACCAAGACTCCTAGTGGACGCCAAATAAATATTAAAAATATTAGTTGAATATTTAGTGTGTTCTTATTCCCAGACACTTGTTGTTGTGAAGTGCCATTGAGTCAGTTCCGACCCATAGCGATCCTGTATAGGGTTTCCGAGGAGTAGCTGGTGAGCTTGAACTGCTAACCTTGCAGTTCAAATGGCTTTGCAGTCTGGCACATTAACCCACAGCGCCACACCGGGACTCCATACTCCCAGACACTAGGATCATATAATTTAATTATGTAATACTGGATTTCTAGAATAAATTTTCCTTTCTTTCAACAGACAGAAAAATGTGCTCTACTTATCTCACTGATAACAAATTGTATTCTGTCTGTCTGTATAACCCAGCAATATCATAAAAATCATGCATGAGGACAGTTTTATATGCCAGCTGCCTCAGGGGATTTACTGTAACAGGTGAAGGGAATTTCAAAAAACATTGAACCTTCAATTTTGGTACAATACCTGGTGCTATGGGCTAATGCGTCAGACTGCAAAGTCATTTGAACTGCAGAGTCAGTGGTTCTGGCTCACCAGCTGCTCCTTGGAAACCCTAAATAGGGTCTCTATGGGTTGGAATCAACTCGACAGCACTTAACAACAACAACAGCCAGCAAGTGGTAGTTCATCAGTCCTAGAAGACAGAAGCTCAGGTAAACCTCTAGTTCCCTCACCCCCCTCCCCTTCTCTTCCACTCATATCTGAGCGCCTGCTCAATGCCAGGTACTTGGGGGACACAAAGACAACAGACAAGACAAGGAGCTTAAAATCTAAACAGAGATACAGCTGTGTATACAGTTAACCAGATGGATGGGGCACATCGTACTGTAGGCATGTAAACAGAGAGCTAAGGCAGCACTGCAGAAAGCATGAACAATCTTAACCATGGAGGTTAAGGTAGGCTTCCTAGAGGAGGTGGTGGTTAAGTTGAGCCTTGGGAAAAGGACCTGGATTCCAAGACGCAGGGGGAATAAAAGGACACTCCACACAAAGAACATAGCCTGAGCAAAGGTAAAGCTATGGAAATGCAAGACATCTTGAGATTCTTATGTGTTGTGTGACACAAAATAGAAGGAAATAAGATTCAAAAGGTAGTCTAGGAAAGATTGTGAAGTTCATCAAAGACATTCGGGCAGGAGATTCTTAAGATGCGATCTGGATTTTAGAACAAGAATCAGAAAAAGAGTAGAAATTACTACCCAAACTGCAGCCATGGAGCTTTTTAGAAATGTACAAATCTCAGACCACCACCCTCAACAACCTTCTGAAGCTTTCTTTTAACATGACCTGCTCCCCAGGTGATTTCTGTGCACTGAACCACCTCCTACTGGTGTCCGTTTCTCCACTGCATTTGCTGTCGTTTCTCATCGTCTCTCACAGACACTGGTATTACAGTGTCTACTGTCTTCTGGGTCTAGGAGGTTGTCAATGTGGGAACCCCAGCTCCAATGGATGCACTCTATTCCTGGTTTTTCTTTCTTGGTAGTAGTGAGGTCCGCCTTTGCTTTGGGATTAGCTCTTTTAAGTCTAGCAGGATGGCAAAACTAACCAGTTTTCTCATTAGGATTCCATATACCTTATTTGCATGAACCCACTCCCTAAAGGAGTCCTCTGTAAGATAAACACTGGACTGTAAAGTCAGTTTGAACTACAAGGTCAATGATTCAAACCCATAAGCTTTTCCTATTAAACCCTATACGGGGTTGCTATAAGTTGGAACCTACTCAACAGCATTTAACAACAACCCCCCCCCCCCAGAGGTTCCATGCACCTTATTTGCATTCTTTACAGACTCTCTAATCCCCTGAGTGCATCTCAAGCACCTTATTTGCATAGTCCCACCCAGTTGTTTTGTGCAAATCACAAAGACTATAGCTAGAAGGGCCATGTTAAGTCATTCAAAGCACCACAGACACCAATTCCTAAATGCAGGAGCCTGTGGAACCTAGGGAAAGTACTGAGAAGGGAGATAGCCAAGAGGAGGCAGATGTATTGCCAAAACGGGAAGAATGAGTTGCAAGAGGACTCAGTGCACAGCCTCAAATGCTAAAGATGAAAATGATGAGGACTCTGAAAAAATCTTTGGACTTAGCCTCTGGTTGACAGTGATCTTTTAAGGCTAAGTCTCTAGAGTTTCCACAGGGTGGAAAATGGTTACCATGGTTAAGGAACAAATGAAAGAAGGACAAGCCAGCAGTGTAGAATATTATTTTAAGAAATTTCATGTGAAGAGAAGAAAAAGAGTGCTGTGAATTTAAGGCAGAAGAAAGGTTGGGAGCAAAGAGGGAGATGGAGGGATTGCAAGGGAAAGGGGCTAGTGGAGAGATGAGAGCTTAGAGGTAGGAGTGGGGACAGGGTTGTGAAGAGACTAAACTACCAAAAGGAGGAAGAAGCTGGTCCTGAAGTTGCCACAGAGTCCCAGGCATCATGAATATGAAATTGTAATTACAATTGGATAACCTTCTCTAGTTTTAAAAGTTAGTTATAAAATAGATGTTAAGATTCTACTTTCAAATGAAATGTTGTTGGTGTGTACCTTAAAGTTTGTCCCGATTCACAGCGACCCTGTATAGGATTTCTGAGAGTAGTTGGTGGGTTTGAACTACCAGTCTTGTAGTTAGCAATCCAGTGTTTCTCCTATAGCACTGCGCCAGGGCTCAAATAGAATGGTGGTGGTGTGCCGTGGAGTCGCTTCTGAATCATAAGTGACCCTGTATAGGGTTTTTGAGGCTGTAAATCTTTACAGGAGCAGAAAGCCACATCTTTCTCCCACAGAACAGCTGGTAGTTTCGAACTGCTGACCTTGAGGCTGGCAGCCCAATTCGTAACCACTATGCTACCAGAGCTCCTTCACATAAAATGAGGGCTCCAGAAAGGAGAATACCAGTGCACAACATACCAAATTTGCAATATTGCACAGCGGGCCTTTTACCTATGAACCCTAAATATCCACAGAGTCCTAAAGTCACAAAGGACAGACAAGGGCTCTGTGTCTAACTGCTCAAAAGTGTCTATTGGGAGAAACAATGAGGAAAACAGTGAAAAACTCACTGCCCTTTGAAACCCACCCCTAACACCCCTCTGAAATGAGCAGAAGGGAGCAGGCAGGTTGGGGGGGGGGGGCAGGAGGAACAGCTAAATTGCAATCTACATGTTTTTAGCATAATTCTTTGTTAAGGAAGAGGACTCCCCACCTCTTGGAAAACTGACAGGAAAAGGCATAAATAGCATTGCAAAGAGAAGATATCCATCAGCTGGACAGAAAAGCCTCCCAGCCTGTGAGGTGGTGTAAACCAGGAGAAACCCTAGAATCCCTGGGGGTACAGCCTGACCAGCAGCCATGGGAGCTTGGAGTTGTGGCTCCCAGGAGGCCTGGCCAGCTGTAGAGAAAGTCTAATTGGAGGAGAAGCCAGGACCACTGACTCTAGCAGGGGGCCTCTCTCTGCTTCCCTGCAGCCAGCTGAATGCCTGTGGTTCTTCCCTCCCAGTGTCCCTTCCCTGCTGGAAGCAATGTTGAGATCCAGAGAGGTGGTCCAGGTCACCCAGGGCTTTCAGACAGGAAGCTGTTCCCTACCTCCAGGCCCACTTGGGTTATCCATGTGGAGGAAGAAGAGGAGAGGAAGAACCGTTAGCAAGTATTAGGACTGAGGGGTAGAGGACAGTTGGGGTTGGAGATTCCAAACAAAGTTTTCTGTTGACTGCTCAGATACTTTAGTTGTTGTAAGCCTGGGCAGGTCATCTCTCTAGTTTAAAAAGAAAATGGCTCTCAGGGAGATGGGTGTGGAAGAGGGAAGGGCCGAGAAGAATCATGTGGGAGGCTATATGGTAGGTCATTTCATTGGAGCCAGGAGGGTCAGAGGGTCGCCAAAAAGGCAGTGCCAATTAACCGTCCAGTGCAAAACAAAGCCCCGCCAATGTTGAATAACCTTCACCATCACCATCTTTTCTACTTCATCCTGATTTCTCCATTTTATCCATATTCTACCATTTACTCTACATTTATCGACCCATTGAATCTCAAGCTCCTGGTGGGTTTGGGGTGATTGGTGGGCACAGGGGATAGACACAGTGGAGGATCCTCATCCAACTCCTCAGCCTCCTTATTACCAGAGCCACCGCTGAGATGATCGAGGCTGACCTACAGCTCCCTCCCAGTTTTCCTAAGCCTAAGTAAACACTAACCACCACCCTGATGAGACCATGCTCTCTCCCATCCTAGCCAGGGCTTGCCTGAGCTGTAACTTGAACTCCACTCCCACCTTTATCCTACTTTAACTCTGAAATCCACTCCATCCCTGTTACTGAGCCTAATTTGTTCTAGTTACAGAGCTGTTAACAAAACAGCTGTGATTGAGGCTTCTTGTGGAGTTGGAGTTTTCTTGCAACCTCCAGGATAGTTACAGATGCAGATGCAGACCAGAACCTGCAAAATCACACACAGCCCTGGCCTTAGAGGCTTTCTTCAGGGCTGGGATGCCCTCTAGTGCCCACCAGGAGTGCAGCAGCCCTCACTGTGGAAAAGGACAGTTCTCTGACTTCCCAGGAGGCCCCAGCTCAAACACAATACCATCTGTTTCCAAAATGATCTTAGAACAATCTCCGAAACAGTTCTTCCACTTATCGCTCTTTCTGAATATACTGTTGTTAAGTGCTGTTGAGTCAGTTCCGACTCATAGAGACCCCTGTATAGGATTTCCAAGGAGCAGCTGGTGGGTTTGAACCGCTGACCTTGTGGTTTAAACCAACTTTGTTTATCCTACAGTGCCACACCAAAATTCCTTATATATAAACATGAGCTGAGCAGTCCTAACAATTGCAATTTCAGCTCTTTCCTCAATGGGAAGGTGAGGACATTTCTCATTATTGCTTCAAGAATTGGAGAGTTCCTCCATACCCAAGGAATCAGGAAGGAGAGGAGATAGCCAGTCTTCATCTTCACTAACTAGGTTGAGTGAGCATGGCAGTTGACCAGTGCTAGAACTTGATGCCCTCTTCAAGGCTAGCTAGACAATGCCTCATGGTGCTGGCCCATTGGAAAGCATTTCCCGGGCTCTAAGCACTGCGGCTCCTTCACTAGGAAAAGACAATGGTTCCTCCTGAAGATGCCAGGCCAAAAAAAACCTGCCTTCTCTTTTCTCTCTCACCCAGCTAATCAGACACTCTAGCTCCCACATCACAGCTGGAAAATGCAGCCAGAAACAAAATGATAGCGATGACTCAGCATGTCAGATCCACGGATCCAGACAAACAGACCTCCCTGATACTCAATGTTGTTATTATTTAGTCTCTAAGATCTAGTCCAATGACAAGTAGCTCAATTCAAGTGATGAATTGATCTGATTCTTTAAGGTATTCTCTTAATACCCTGTTTGAAATATCATTATTGATCTTATCTAAACATATGTTCTTATAACTAACCTAAGCCAGGAGTGTGGCTCTGTAGTTATCAAGCTCTGGACCACAAGGTAAATTTGAACTGCACGGTCCGTGGTTCAAACTCACCAGCCACTCCTTGTAAACTCTATACAGGGTCGCTATGAGTCAGAAAGGACTCTACCACACGTAACAACAACCTAAACCTACTTATTCTTATACTACAAGGGAGCTCTGGTAGCGTAGTGGTTACGAATCGGGCTGCTAACCTCAAAGTCAGCAGTTCGAAACTACCAGTGGTTATGCAGGAGAAAGCTAGGCGGTCTGCTCCCATAAAGATTTACAGCCTTGGAAACCCTGTGTAGGGTCACTATGAGTTGGAACCGACTCCACGGTACTTAACAACAACAACCTCTTAATCTGAAGTCCTGGTGTGGCGCTGTGGGTTAATGTGCCAGACTGTAAAGCCATTTGAACTGCAAGGTTGGCAGTTCAAGCTCACCAGCTGCTCCTCGGAAATCCTATACAGGGTCACTATGGGTCTGAACCAACTTGAGGGCACTTAACAACAAACAACAAACCTCTTTATAGAAAGAGTTCTGGTAGCGTAGTGGTTATGAGTCAGGCTGCTAACCTCAAGGTCAGCGATTCGAAACTACCAGCTGTTCCATGGGAGAAAGATGAGGCTTTCTGCTCCCGTAAAGATTTACAGCCTTGGAAACTTGCAGGGTCACTATGAGTCAAAACCGACTCCACAGCACATCACCACCACCACCACCACCACACCTCTTAATATTTGAGAGCTATTTGCTTATAGTTGCTCCTGTATGTAAGGTAGAACATTAGATGGCTTTTTCACGTTATTATATCCCTGGGTTGATGAAACGTCCATAACCCCAATCTCATCCTTGTCAACTGGGTCATTTTATTTTATATCATGTTTGCTTTAAGGGACCCTGGTGGTTCGACAGCTAAGCACTAAAACTGCTAACCAGAAGGTTTGCAGTTTGAACCCACCAGTAGAAAGATTTTAACAGTCTGCTTCCATAAATATTACAGCCTTGGGAAGTCTATGGGTCAGTTCTCCTCTTCCCTAGAAGGTCACTGTGAGTTGGAACTGACGCAATAGCAATGGGTTTGAATCCTGTTTGCTTTAGACTTCTTCACCAATGAAAGCTGCCTAACCTTCCTTTGATTGTTACTTACCCTAGCAGCCCTTCCTTTCAATGATCCTCTATGCCTCCTCCTACTTCACCGTGATTTTCTAAACGGCAACAGCCAGAGCTCCAGGAGCAGATGAACTACGTTTCTGTCAAGAGCAGAGTAATAACACCTGTTTGTAGCCAGTGCCCATTGTACCCGATGGCAGCACTGTATTAGCCAGAGCAGTAGATGGAGAAACTGTCTACATGTCTCCAGTTCCTCTCCTAGGTTTTAGCCAGACACCTTAGGGCTTATCACCCCAAAAAGCTAATGTTCAGATTTTCCCAGAATGCATGACTCCGTTACCAGTTCCAAGACTTATGTGAGCTCTCAATCAGGGACATCTTTGTCATCTATGAATTTGACAGTATCCCCTTTCACTCTCGAATGTGCCATCTAGAAAAAGTGATTGGCTGGACTCATGTCAGGGCAGTATCTGTGAAATTCCACCGCTAATACTTCATCAGTTAGACTCGAACCAAAAAGACCTGTCTGTCTCATCCTTTTGCATGTTTTCATAGCAGTTTCCATTCTGTGATGAAATAGTCTTCCCATTGCCATTCACGTTAGCCTTTTTTTTTTTAATATTGCGGAACTTAATCAGCAGAGTTTTGAGAACTCTAAATCATAGCCTCTCCTTGTTCCTTGCCATATGTTTATTATATATTCCCTCAAAACTCTTGATCAGCAAGGAATACTTAGCCTGCATAGGAACCATGCTACTTTTTCTCAGATTGTTTGTTTAGACATTCAATAATTTTGTTCTTCCCTCCTCACAAATGCTCCATTGCAAAGCTCAGCTGGGCAGTGTCCAAGAACCTCTGCCCCTTCCACTCTTTTCTTCCCTCAGAGGAGATTCAAACACATTCCTCCCTTATAGGAGACTTTTTTTTTCTCCTGGGAGCTTCAGCAAATCACTCTTTCGCCCAGCCTTATACATACACTTTCACAAATAACTTTTCCTTTCTTTGTACTTTCTCTTAAGGCTGTGTTCTGTTTCCTCAGGAAACCTTCCTTCATTCCATCTGTCAGCTAGAATACAACTCAGATCATGACTGAGGTGCACAAAGAACACTGCAAGACACTGTGGTTAGAGCTGCCAGGGGCCCCAAAAAATCATCTAGCACAATTCCTGTCTTTTACACATGAGGAAACTGAGGTACAGAAAGGAAAAAGCACTTAGCCAAGGCCAAGAAACCATAGTAGTCCTATTGTCTAGGGACAGATTAATATTTTGTTTGGGCAAAGAAATCCTGGAGTTCTGAAGTGAGTATATTCTACTAGATACACTGTTGTGCCCCCTCTCCTCATCCCCATCCCCACTCTTACCTACTCATCCCTGCAACACATCATGTCCCTCCTTGTCCCCCTCAGAAACATCTGTCAGGTCCTTCACCCACCTCCTCATTGTGTCCCATCATTTCCTTTAAGACCCAACTCCAGGACCACTTCTAAGAACAATTTCTTTAGACTTGAGCAATGTTGTGTATTTTCCTCCATTTTGTATTGGATTTGTACTGTGATCGTTAACACTTCATAATTGATCTCTCAAGTGCCTATGTTCTTATCTCTCCAAGTAAACTATAAGCTCCACAAAAGAAAGACAGACCAGGCCTTCCATATGTTCTGGTAGGAGTCATGGTATGCTGCCCGAGTTCCATTTTAAAAAAGGGGGAAAAAAAAGTTTAACAAATGGAGAAATCAGCTTGACACTTGACACAACTCTTAAGTTACTGACGTTTGAGAAAGGGCTGGTTGAGGTTGTGTCTGGGTTCCGGAAGGCAGAGATATGAGAAAGAGGTTGGAGAGGAAGGAATGAGGGTCGAGTAGTGATGGCTACAGTGAGGAGGTCAGTACTCGTCAGTCTGCATCTAGGTGCAGTGAGGACTGACTGACCCCATGGGGATACCTAGACGCGGAACTTGGTGGTCTTGTGTCTGGAAAGCGGGTAAGGCCTGGCAAGATGCCCAGCCTGGCTCTGCTCTCAGCGACCTTCAGGACTACTCACGTGTGTCCTCTCTACTTTCCTTGTCTCCCCGCAGAGCCCAAGGATGAAGTGGAGGTTTCAGATGATGGTGAGTGCTGGCCCCCTGTCCTTGGGTCAGGCTCATAGGGTGGAGGGGGTTGAGCCCAGGAGTCTAATGGCTCACACTCACCCTACACCCTACCCTGCAGATGAGAAGGAGCCTGTGGTGGATTACCGGACAGTGACAGTCAATATGGAACAGAAAGTGTCTGACTTCTACGACATTGAGGAGAGACTAGGATCGTAAGTGCAGTGGGAAGCTGCCTCGGGGTGAGGGTAGTGAGACTCCCTTGTCTTCCTCTCTGTTTTGGGTTCTGCCTCCTCTGAGGCTGAGACTCCTGCAGAGTCTGAAGGGACTGACCCGGTCAGCACTCAGGAAAGGGTCTCTCACTAGGGCTCTCTCAGGATCTCACTCTGCCTCAGTTCTACTCACAGACTGGGGTCTCCACACAAGGACTGGGTCCAGATCCAGTGTGTTTCGGAGACTTCCATTTGATACACGGGATCAGTGGAGCCTGGCCAGGGTGTCTGGTCTAGCAGTTCTCGCTGACTTTAGTGCTTCAGTCTGGGTCCGTGGGAGGCACGGCCTGGTCATAACAGTTCCCTTGGTACACTTGGTCTCTACTATGTACTGGGACTTCTTAGGGGTGTCGAGAACTCCAGTGAGCCTGAACCCTTACAACAGCCAAGCTGTCCCCTCCAGCAGCACCCAAGTCTGTCCATGTCCCCCAAGCCTCTATCCCATTCTTGTTGTTGTTGTTGTTAAGTGCAGTCGAGTCGGTTCCGACCCATAGCTAACCCTCGGAACCACTCTGTAACAGAAGTATCCCGTCAGAGTAAGCTGTATCCACAGAGAAGCATGTCAGCTTCCGTCCCCGAGAAGTGGGTAGCCAACCTTCCTGCAGCTGCCCGCAGGGGACCAGCACTCAGAGGGCAGTAGAAGGAAGGCGGCTGGTCAGTCATGCTCTGCAGGGGCAGACAGAGAAGTCCGTCCACCAAGATCGAGGCCTCAACCCAAGGAGAAGATGCCAGTCCTAAGAAGAACAGCAAGAGCAGGCAGTGTTTGGGTGGGGATGTTGGGGCTGGCACTGGCTGAGAATGGCAAGTGATGTTGTTGTTAGGTGCTGTGAGTCAGGTCCAACTCATAACCACCCAGTGTAGGGTTTCCAAGACTGAAAATTTTTATGAGAGCAGAAAGCTTCATCTTTCTCCTGCACTGCTGGGTTTGAACTGCTGACCTTGTGACTAGAAGTCCTGTGATTTTTCTACAGAGCCACTGTGCTCCTGACAACTGATAGAATTGGTTTTTCAGTGTTTAAACTGTGTTTCATTGATCCAAAACTAATTGCAGTTAAGTAGATTCCAAATCAAGGTAGTCCCATGTGTGTCAAGGTAGAACTGTGCTTCGTATCGTTTTCCACAGCTGACTTTTGGGAAGCAGATCACCAGACCTTCCTTCTGAGGAGCTACTGTGTAGATTCAAAACATTAACCTTTCCAATGGAAGCCCAGCACTTAACTGTCTGTGCCACCGAAGGATTCCTGAGTCTAGAACAGGGGTCAGCAAATTATTTTCTGTAAAGGACCAGACAGTAAATATTTTAGGCTTCGTGGGCCATACTGTCTTTGTCACAGGTATCCAATTCTGCCATTGTAGTACAAAAGCAGCCACAGGTGCAAACAAGTGGGCATGGCTGTGTTCCAATAAAACTTTATTTATAAAAAGAGGCAGACTGGATCTCACCCACATGGCAACCCCTATATAGTGGAAAAATTGATTGACTTTGACTTTTCTCTCTTCTCTCTCTCACTTGTAGTGGAAAATTTGGACAGGTTTTTCGACTGGTAGAAAAGAAAACTGGAAAAATCTGGGCAGGGAAATTCTTCAAGGCATATTCAGCAAAAGAGAAAGAGAACATCCGGCAGGAGATCGGCATCATGAACTGCCTGCACCACCCCAAACTGGTCCAGTGTGTGGATGCCTTCGAAGAGAAGGCCAACATCGTCATGGTCCTGGAGATGTGAGTGGCCCTGTACTCCCACCTGGAGCCCTACCCACTCTCTTCCACCCCATGGCTCTGTCCTGCCCCAACCACCTCTGCCCCAACAGCAAGGCTGGGATATGCAAGACCCTCCTGACCCGGGTGATCAGATGCTGACCAATTAGAGCAGGTCTGTGTGAGCACTGTAGCATCCAGTGAGCACCCACAGGCAGAGCCTGATGACCCTAGCACCCCTTTACCCTCATCTCCCGCAGGCTGTCCCTGGACTCCTTGGTTCCATTCAGAGGCCTTCTGACCTAGTTGTTTTGGAGATAGAGAAGCCTCTTGATTCTGTGCAGCAGACCAGGGGGTCCGAAGTCCAGGAATGTGACCCCTGCTGCCATGTTTCCACATGCTCCTCCCCCATGGTTTGTCCCCTTCCGACTTCTGACTCCCGAAGAGCTGGCACACACACACACACACACACACATGCTGGTGTCTCTGTGCCAGGCATCCTCCCTATCCAATGGCTATATTTTGCAAGACTTGCCTTTCTTTTTGTATCTTAAAAAAAAAAAAAAAGATTCAATCACATTGAAAATTATAAGAAAATGCACAATGAAAAGTTTTATTCCCACCCATCGCCGTGTCCTGACTTATCCTTCAACGTACATAACCAGTTTTATTGGTTTTCCCTGTATTCTTTTAACACAAACCTAGCTTATCATCCTCACTATTCTGTACTTGGAGTCCTGGTGTGGTGCTGTGGGTTAATGCGCCAGACTGAGAAGCCGTTTGAACTGCAAGGCTGGTGGTTCAAGCTTACCAACTGCTCCTTGTAAACCCTACACAGGGTCGCTATGGGTTGGAACTGACTCGATGGCACTTCATAACAACAACAATTCTGTACTTGGCTTTTTTCATTCATCAGTTTTCTTGGCAACTGTCCTGTATCTGTAGTTGGTGAACTTGCACAGTCTCGCAGCCCCATCACGTGTCATTGGCTGGATAAACCACATAAACAGTGCTTTTCTGATAGAAACCAGCGTGACTGAAACCTCTTGTGCCCATCATTTCGCTCATGCTTGTGTCAATCTGTAAGATTGTTTCCCAGGAGCGTGTGCATATGAAATTTACAGAGCTGTTGTAAAATTGCCTTCAGCATCCCTGAATTTGCTCATCCTGAACCTCAGTCCTTTAGAGAAGACTCTGTCAAATGTCATGGGGTTCTTTCCCAGCCAAGGGGAGGCCAGTAAGACATCCCCAATCAAGAATGTGGATGGAGTTTTAACCTTGATTCGCCCCTTACTCCATTAATATTTTGGTGATTTTCCCTGTTCTTTAGAAAGACAACAGGGGTAAGAGAACAGACTTGTTGTTGTTGTTGCTGTTAAGTGCCATCGAGTCAGTTCCAACCCATAGCGATCCTATATAGGGTTTCTGAGGAGTAGTTGGTGAGCTTGAACCACTAACTTTGCAGTTCACCCGGCTTTGCAGTCTGGCACATTAACCTACAGTGCCACACCAGGACTCCAGAGTACAGACTAGAAGCAGATAAATCTCACTTTAGACCCCAGTTGGCCTCTTCATTGGTTAGTAAGCTAGAATAAATTTCCTCAGCTACTCAGATCCTTAGTTTTATGATCAATAAGAAGAGGAGAGTGAAACCACCTTGTGAATGCTGTAGGACTCAATAGAATAATACGTGGAAGAGACAGCAATCTGTAACTGGTAGCTATTGGTGGTGGTGTGATGTACTGACCCTTTTTTTCTGTATGTTGGTCTTTTTCTCCACATGAAATTACTTTATGAGCATTTTCTGCCTAAGAATAGTTTAATATCTGATTAAGAGTTGTGGAACAAACCTTAACTGGTGTTCAGCAAACATGGATTTCCAGTCTGCTGCTATTCAGCCGTGATTTTGCGTTTGTTAATTTGTTAATCCCTGCCCCAAGGTCAGCAGTTCAAAACTACTAGCTGTTCCACAGGAGAAGGATAAGGTTTTCTGCTCCCATAAAAGATTTACAGCCTCGGAAACCCTAATCAGTGTCGCTATGAATCGGAGCCAACTCCACGGCACACTACCACCACCACCCACAAGAAAAAGTATTTGGATTGGAATCAACAATCCCAAGTCTCTTTTTCTGGCTCAAAAATTGTCCAATTCTGGGGAACTGTAGAAGACTTTCTGTAAAAGGATCTTAGAAAATCGAAATTCATCTCTTAGACTCTGCTCTCAGCCCTAAATTCAAAGGTTCCTCCCCACTTCCAGGAACAATTCCTCTCAGTCTCTGACCTCACTCATTACACCCCTCACAGTACTCCTATGGGCTACAGTTGTCCACATTTATCCCAGAATAGGCTACTCAGTCCAGGCAGTGTGGGCTTCTGAGGACATGTGAAGAAATGTCTTATCTTTAGAAATCCAACCTTGAGCAAGTTTGTGAGAGCGGGCAGGGAGGGGGCATGAGGCAGCCCAGCCTGGGTACAGCCTGGCAGCAGCACCAGTGGGCAGAATACCATACTTAGCTTGGAATTGGGAGTTGGCAAGCCAGATGGAAAAATGCAGGGAGAAAAACTAAGAAGACTTGAGCTGGCCTGGCTTTCATCCCTTTCCCCACGCCTCCCCCATGGACAGGAGTGAGTCTTCTACACATGGATGCCAGCGGATTAGCCTGCATTTGGGGTACAAAGCTTACTCCTTGATAGGAACCCAACCAGAGAAGAAGGGAGCAGGTTCAGACTTGATCCATACATCCTTTCCAGTGGAAACATTCTAAGACTTAACCGTTGAGAAGGGCAAGGTGGCTGTTCAGGAATTCAATTTGCTATTGTCTTTGTTTGATGGAGAGACTGAGAATAAAGGAAGAACATGGTGGCCGATGATAGAAAAAAAACTGTATTCCAGAAAATGTATTTCAGGGTCACCTGCCACAGATAGAGTGAGAAATAAGAATGAGTGTGTCTTCAGCCTTTCTAGTTCTGATTGCTCTGGGACAGTGGTCCCCTCCGGCCCCTGGCCTAGAGCAGGGGCTTGTCTTTTAAGAAGTGCTTGGGCCCTTTCAAATAATGGTGGTTGCTGAGTACTGGAGTGGATGTGTGGTCTGGCTGCGTCATCCATGGCCAACCTCACGTTTCTCTACTGTTGGCAAAAGTCTCAGAGATGATCCAGTTGGGTGTAGAGGTCTCGAGTCTCCTACTACACCCTTCTTTCTGGCTGCCAAGTGAGGGCAGGTCTAGAACTTCAGGGATCAATTTGATCCCTTAGGATTAGGTAGCCTGGGTGGTAGTGGATATTCACTCAGTGTTAATTTAGTAAGTACACATTTACTCTGGTCCAGTCTCACCCCAGAACTCTCCCACCTGTGTGGGTAGAGGCTTCTTTCTCTCAAACCAACCCCTTCTAGCCATATTCTTGAGCATTTTGAAGAGAAACTTACTGAACCACTAATTCTTTTTTACAACTCCTTCTATCCTAGAAAATAGACCATCCGAACAGTTTTCAAAATCTAATTACTAAACCTACTGACTATATTTGAGTACATTGACTGACTAGGTCATTGCTAGAAATGCAGCAGTTACCAGCTCCAAGTCTCAGATTTGTACCTCTCATGCCTCAAGAGTTCTTAAGGACATTGTAAATGGTGGTGACTTGCTTTCTCAGAGTACTTTTCATTCTAAAGCAAACATTACCTAGTTTGTGTCACATATTGCTAGTTTATAATTAAGAGTCCAGAAGAGTTCTGAATGGCACAAACAGTTAAGTGCTTGACTACCAACTGAAAGGCTGGCAGTTCACACCCACCTAGATACGTCTCAGAAGAAAGATCTGGCAACTTTTTCCAAAAAGTTGCTGGCAGGCTGAAGTCATCATGGAGTAGTTCTACTGTGCACACATGAGGTCACTGTGAAACGGAATCTATTAGACAGCAACTGGTTTGCTTTTAGTAAGGGTCCAGAAATGAGACAGGCCTTGCCCAGGCATGTATGCAAATAACTTTATAATAAGGCAGGCTTAATACGGAAAGTACAGAGACACTTTCCCAGGGTAGGAAAGACCATTTCATATGGAGAAATCAAGAGTGGTTCTCAGAGAGTGTGAGTTTCCAGCTGACATCCAAGCAGTAGAAATGGAATAAGCTAGTTTGTATTTCCCAAGCTTATCTCACCTTAAGAATGACCTGAGGTACTTATTTAAAATCTGTGTTCTCAGATCCCTCCCAAGACTTTTAAAATCCAGGGTAAGAGCTTGTCAAGTATCTGTATTTTCAACAAGCATCCCAAGTGTTTCTTAATTTAAAAAAAAAAAAAATCTAACACTAATTTCATTAAATACTTGCTATATATAAAGGAGCTCTGATAGCGTAGTGGTTACAAATTGGGCTGCCAACCGCAAGGTCAGCAGTTCGAAACTACCAGCTGTTCCGTGGGAGAAAGATGAGGCTTTCTGCTCCCGTAAAGATTTACAGCCTCGGAAACCCTGTTCAGGGTCGCTATGGGTCAGAATTGACTCGACGGCACATAACAACAACATATAAACAGGCATTCTTCTAAGCACTTTACTTGTATTAACTCAATCTGTATAGCAACCCTGTGGGGTGGTGGTGTTTTATCCGCATCTTACAGAGAAGGAAATTGAAACACAGCAATGTTAAGAATCAACTGACACTGAGAATATAGAGTATAGAGTTGGATTTGGAGCCTTGGTGGCTAACTGTGGAAATGAAGATTTTTGAGAACAATAGCGCCACCTACTGACCACTCAGGAACACCTTGTGTTGGCACTAGTCAGTTCCAGCATTCCCCAGGGTACATTGACCTTCCGGAATCAAGTGTTAGTGATATGGTGATGAAGGCAGAGACATCTCCTGCCCATCTGTCCCTCAGATCTCCATGACAAGATCCACAACACAGGTTGTTAAAGGATAATTAACATATGCCAAGCTCTCATTGTATACCAGATGTGACACTTTGTATATGTTTGTATATTCCTGACAACTTTGTGAGGAATATACAAACATATAAGGAATGAGGCTCAGAAAAGTTATGTAACTTGCCAAAGTCACACAGTTCCTAAGAGAAAGGGATTGCATTCAAACTCATCTCCTTCCCCTCTTCGTGATACTCCCTTAAAAAAGAGAGAAGGTCTTTGGTAAGGGGATGTGCCCATAACGAAGCCCACTCAGTCTCAGGTTGTTGCAGGGAAATAAGCTTATTGATATCTGGATGCTGCAAAAGTTACCAGGAGATATTTTAAATTTTCTGAGCAGGGAACTGTGAAGGTGGGGCAGAGGCCTGGGACAGGGAGCGGAGAGTGCCCCTGCAACCAGGCTGGAGGGGGCTGTGTGTTTGCACTGAGGGCATCACTGAAGCCCCTGGAGTAGCCCTGGGCAGAACATGCCTGCTGGGGGCCCCAGAAGCATGAGGCTGATTGAACATGACCAGGACCCAAAGTCTATTCAAATAGGAAGGATTTACCACACACTCCCAGCCTGGCCTAGGAAGTCTCCCCTGGTTGAGGGGAGACAAGTGAGTCACAGCTGGAAGGAGTAAGCTGATAATATATTGTTGTTGTTGTTAAATACCATGGAGTCGGTTCTGACTCATAGCGACCCTGCACGGGGTTTCCAAGGCTGCAAGTCTTTATGGGAGCAGAAAGCCTCATCTTTCTCCTGTGGAACAGCTGGTCGTTTCAAACTGCCTACCTTGAGGTTAGCAGCCCGATTCGTAACCACTACGCTACCAGAGCTCCTTAAGCTGATACTATAGGTTTGCAAATATTGAGGGCAAACAAATCTATTACTACTGTTGATGTAATGGCTGCTGTTGTCGTTAAGTTGACTCCAAACATGGTGACTCTATGCACGACAGGACACATTGCTCCATCTCGGCTATCTTCCGTACTGTTGGATGTTGGAGTCCATTGTTGTGACCACTGAGCATTTTGAGTGTCTTCAGTCCTAGGGGGCTCATCTTCTGATAGTGTTCTGTGGTAGTCCACAGAGTTTTCATTAGCTAATTATGGATGGATGGGCATTGCCAGAGCTTTCTACCCAGTCTGTCTTAGTCCCGAGACTTCACTGAAGTCTGTCCTTCATGAGCAACCCTACTGGTATTTGAAATAGCTTCAAGCATCCCAACAACACACATGCCACGACAGTACAACAGACTGACAGACAAGTGGTAGAGGTGTAATAGGTCGTTGTTGTTTTAAGTGCCATCAAGTCGGTGCAGCTGGTGGGTTTGAACTTTCAACCTTGTGGTTCACAGTCCAGTACTGATCCTACAGGTCCACACCACAGACAACTAATTTTAGAAAAATTTCTGAGGCTTCTTAATATTTCTCTTCCCGGGTATGCAGACAAAATGCTTGGTGAGTGTTGTAAACTTCTGTCCCCTAAAGGGCAGGAATGTTCCCTATGCATCTGTGTCATTTGGAAGAAAGAGACTGACTAGCAGTTACCCTTTTATTAGAACATCATAGCTGAATGTCATAGTCTAGGCCCACCTCTGAAACAATCTCAGTGGGTACAGGGAAGAGACCCCAGTAGGAAACCAGAAGACCCTGGGCTTCTTCCCTTGAAGAAAGACTGAGACCAGCCAAGAGGAAGTGATTGAGGGTGCTCTGAGACTGGTCACCCCCATCGCCCCTATTCCCTGGATTTTCCCTTCAGTGTCCCTGCCAGCCCAGCCTCCACACCCCTATGGTCTGAACAACCTATGCTCCACTTCCTCCTGTTCCACAGCGTGTCTGGGGGTGAGCTGTTTGAGCGCATCATTGACGAGGACTTTGAGCTGACGGAGCGAGAGTGCATCAAATACATGAAGCAGATCTCGGAGGGGGTGGAGTACATCCACAAGCAGGGCATCGTCCACCTGGACCTCAAGCCCGAGAATATCATGTGTGTCAACAAGACAGGCACCAGGATCAAGCTCATCGATTTCGGTCTGGCCAGAAGACTGGGTAAGGCCACCCTCACCTGTTGTCACCCCCATGCAGGGACCCTGGCTGTTGGTACTCCATGTGTATCAGAGGGAAGGTGCAGTGTTGAACTAAAATTAGAGACCAGATGCAAAACCCCAGCTCTGTTGTGTGACTTTGCACATTACTTAACCTCGGGGCCTCTAGCGTTTTATGTTTCTAGGATGAAATATATTCAGTGAGGTCATGTGATAAGATGAGTGCCTTGCACATTGTAAGCAGTACATAGCATGGAGTTAGCATTATTGTCATCACCACCTCTTGTCGCTTATTCTGGTGCCTTTAGCAGCAAAATGCACTCATTTTGGTGACGTCGGCTCCAAAAATTTTGCAGAACACCGGAACCTTCAAATTCTTGCTTTCACTTGTTTCTCACAACAAGCCTATAGGCAGGGCAGTTTATAGACTAGGAAACCGAGGCTCGAAGAGCTTTGTCTGCAGGTCCCACCTCTATCCTGGGAGGTGTCAGGTCTGAGATAAGGACCCCTGACTGGGTTCAGGGTTTTTGGTAGCATCACTGCTGTTGCTATACTAGGAGAGGGGATGGAGGGAGGTGATGGAGGGGTCTTCATGCCCACCCCTGCAATCATTTTGGCTAATGGCAGTCTGCCTCACATACAGCCCCCAGCCAGACTGTTTATGCTGCTCTCTGATACCTCAGTAACTGTGGAAACAGCTTCACTCTCCACCTCCCAATCAGGACCCTGGTAACAAGGAGCCATGGGGCTAGGGGAGGGGAGGGTTCGAGGAAGTCTGCCTTTTCTTTTACTATCTTGGGGAAAGCAGGAAGGAGCTGGCTGAGCTAAGACCAACTAGAAAATCCAGAGGAACTAATTCCTAGAGAAAGACAACATGCTTGCTCAAGTAGAGTCAGCAAAAAAGAGGGAAGGGAGTCCTTTAGCGAGATGGATTCACATACTGCAACAAGAGTTCAAAACCTACCTCTGTTCTCACTGCCATTAAGTCGATTCCGAGACTATAAATTGTTACAGGAGCAGAAAGCCTCATCTTTCTTCCAAGGAGTGGCTAGTGGCTTTGAACTGCCAACCTTGCTGTTAGCAGCAGCCTAGTGCTTATCTTACAGCACCATCAAGGTGTGAAAATTGTGCAGGACCAACCAACATTTTGTTCTGTTATACATAAAGTCTCTACGAGTCAAAGCCAAATCAATGGCACCTAACAACTCTCTGCCAGGATGCCCAGTCCTGGATGAGATAGCATTGACCATGAAGAGGAAAAGAAGACAGTGAGGTTCTGGTAGGCTGTGACTTCCGTTAGTCAGCACAGTTAGGTGAGAAGCTTGCCTAGATGCTAGAACAAATGGCCCTGCTCTGCTGTCTCCTGCTGAGGAATGGACTAGGGACAGGGCTGGTGTGCATGACCTGATAGGCAGGTCCTGTCCTCAGGAGATAGCAATGTGGCGGGGAGCATCACAGCCCAAGAAGCACAATATACTAATTCCCTTGATGAAGGACTATTGCAGGAAGGGCAATGTCTTATCAAAGGCCATAGAATTGGGAAGTGGTTAAAATGTAGCAGGAGAGGTCAGAGTTCAAGCAGAACTTCCACATAATGAAGGCTGTCCAGTGCTTTGTTTTAGAACATCTGCTGGGTCACTGTAAAATTCAACCCAGATCAGATCTGGTCCTTGGGTCAAAGGACCCCCACTGTTAGGGAGCTCTTCAGGAGATGCGATCTACCAAGGGGTGGCTGGGAGCCCTCAGCACGTCCTAACACACACCTGAAGTTGAGGTCTCTCTCCCCCCTTCCAGGCTCCTGGTAGAGTCTTGGAGGAGAGACATGCAGCCATAAGAGAAGTAGGTGAGACATGGTCGAGGACATGGTCTAGTGGCATGGTTGAAGACATGGCTCAGAAGTCAGATCCACTGGGTTCAAGTCGTGACTCCACCACTTATATTAAGTGCATGAGAAATCCCTTCACTTCCTAGGCCCTACTTCCCAGCTCTGTGGACTGGTTGCGGGCCTACTTGTTAGAGTTGTTGAGAATACTGAATAGGACACTCCATTTAAAGCCAATGGTGTGGTTCACAGGACACAGTCACTGACTAGTGAGAGTTAGAAAGCTTCATTAGGAGTCAGTTACAGTCCCTGCCCTGGGGAACTCTCAGGAAAAACAGACACACCAACCAAAAGATCATTCAGGGACAGCTGTTTTAACAAAGTCCGGCCTCTCCTCCTCCCTACCCTACTCACGGCATTCAAGGTGAGTATTTTGTCTGTCACTGGTGTGTTTATGCACTTGTTTAACAAGGTGGACAAATGTCTAGCCATCAGGGAAGCCCCTTGAAGGCCAATCCCCTGCCAGTGCCTGACACACAGTGCCTCTCGCTGTGAGCTGGTTCTGAGATGTTCTGACAATTATTCCCTCTCTATCCTGGTTACAGAGAATGCTGGGTCTCTGAAGGTCCTCTTTGGCACCCCTGAGTTTGTGGCTCCTGAGGTGATCAACTACGAGCCCATTGGCTATGCCACGGACATGTGGAGCATCGGGGTCATTTGCTACATCCTGTGAGTCCCCAGGGCTGCCTGGGCAGAGGGCAGAGGAGGAGGGGGCCTGAGAACAGCCTGCCTGGGCAGGTGACAGTGGGAACCTTGCTTCAGAATCAGGAGGGTAGCAGACTGAAACCTAGCCCGCCCCAGCTCCTGTGTTGATGAACCCAGTTAACAGTCCAGTCCCCACTCTGGGATCCACAGTGGCCTCCATGCTGGCCAGCAGGGCCTTTAAGAATGAGAGTGTTTAGCCTTGTCCAGTCCCATGTGGTCTATCCACTTGTGCAGTGATCCAGCAGAGAAGCGGGAGGGCGCTCAGGCTCCTCTGGGCATCATCTTTGTCTGCATACTGCCCTAAAGGACAGGCCCGCTGCCCCCTCATCTCTGAGACATTGGGTGAGAGAGAGGCTTCTACAGCAGGTCCAGTCAGCAGCAGAAAACAGCACAGCCATTAGAATTGGGAGACCAGCTGCGTAATCTCTAAATCCGTTTCCATGAACAGTGTTGTAGAGAAAGAGGGCAGACAAGTAATCTGGACCAGGGCTTTGCAAGCATTATGATGCAGAAATCAGCTGGACATCTCCTAAAACTGCAGAGTCAGATTCAGAAGGTCTGGGGCATTTCTAACAAGTTCAGGTTCCCCTTTGATGCTGATCTGAGGACCACATTTGGGGTCACAAGACTCTGGAACATACCTCTTGGTGGGACCTCACTGAAGCCACAGCCTCAGAGGCAGCGATTTCGTTATGGATGATGCAGATAATGCGTGCGTTCATTTATTTATGGTTTTTTGTCACACACACACAAATGCAGCTTCCTCATAGAATCTATAAAGTAGACCTGGTATCTTCAGAGTGAGGCTCAGCTGTGGAGATTCTGATACCCAGCTAGCTTTACAAGCTAGTTTGAAGGCTTCAGCGGACATGTGGTGATGTGTGAACTGTGGCTTTTCCACATGCTCAGGGGCTTCATTCTCGCTGTGCCCTCAGTTGACCTGGGTCACAGGCTCTGTATCCCAGAGCGTCCTCTTCCCTGCCCGGGGTCAGCCCCACCACTGTATTCCCGTGTCATCCCCCTAGCTGCTGAGAATACATTTTATGGCCAGGGGTACCTTTCCCTGCCTCTCCCTACTCCAGCCCCTCCAGGAGAAAGGGGAGCTGAAGTGTAAAGAAAACTCTAGGCTCACTTGGTAAGTAGGCCAGCAGGGTTGTACAGTTGCCCAGGCCTGGATGGGGCTCACGCTGCATCTCTGTATCTTGAGACACAGTCTGGCCTGGGTCCTGGGTGCTCGCTGGCCATCAAGGTGACTGGCCTCGTGCCTGCTCATCAACCTGCTTTTCCACTGCTATGTGGTGGGGATGTCCACAGAGTCTCACATGGGATCTTCTTTGAACCTCAGAGCAAGCATGTGAGGGGCTCATGGCAGGGATTTGATTGCATTTGACACTGAGGTGATTGGGGCCAAAGAAGTTCTCATAACTGCCCATGTCCCACAGACCTGGTAGAGTGACCGACTGCCTCAGTTTGCCTGGGACTTGGTTTTCACAGGATTCAGGACTTTGTGTGTAAACACAGGGACAGCTAGGGCAAGCCAGGATGATTGGACTCTACAGGTCAATAACAGAGCAGTGACCAGACTGCTCAGTAATCCTCCACTGTGAGCACTGTAGCTTTTGGGAACAGATAGCAGTGACAGTTACGCAACATGGTGAATACAATTAATGTCATCAAATTGTACAGTTCATTGTGGTTAAGTGGCAGAATTTTTGTTAAGTATATATATATATATATATATTTTAGCCACAAGTATATATATATATATATGTGTATGTTGTTGTTAAGTGCCGTCGAGTTGGTTCTGACCCATAGTGACCCTGTACAGGGTTTCCGAGGGTAGAAAGCCTCATCTTTCTCCCGCGGAGCGGCTGGTAGTTTCGAACCGCTGACCTTAAGGTTTGCAGCCCGATTCGTAACCATTTTTAACCACAAGTATATATATACACACATATATATGTATTTTTTAACCACAAGAATATATGTGTGTGTGTGTGTGTGTGTGTGTATATATATATATATATATATATGTTTTTTTAACCACAATAATTGTTGAAACCAAATACTACCAGAGTCCCAGCAACTCTCCTGGCGTGTCTTTGTGGTTACCACGTCTGCCCCCTTCCAGAGGTAACCATTATCTTCATATCTAACATCATGGATTAGTTTTGCCTACTCTTGAGCGTTATCTGAACCAAGTCATACAGAAGGAAGTGTTTGTCTCTTTTTTTGCTCAACATGTTCCTGAGATACATTGATATTCTTATGTGTACTTGTAGATTGCTTATTCTCAGGGCTGTTGTGTGAATAGAAACACTAGTTGCTGTCTAGTTGATTCCACCCACGATGACCCCATGCATGTCCGAGTAGAATTGTGCCCCATAGGGTTTTCAATGGCTGGTTTTCTGGAAGTAGATCAACCAGGCGTTCCTTCTGCGATGCCTCTGGGTGGACTCAGACCTCCAAGGTTTTGGTTAAGGCGTTGAGCACATTAAATGTTTGCACCACTCAGGGACTCCTGAGTGAAAATAATCCAATTATTTTCATCCTTAATGGACTTTTGAGTAGTTTCCAGTTTGGGGTATTACAGATATTCAAGTACCTGTCTTTTGGTGAATATCTGTATGCATTTCTATTGGACATACCAACTAGAACTAGAATTTCTGGATCATAAGAATAATTTACTTTAAAATGAAAATTATGTTAGGTGTTGGAACATAGTAATTTGGTAAAAATTGAGTAAAATGTTACACTGTTTTCTAGATTACTTTGAAAACTAAGGCCAAGCAATAGGAAAGTGTTTTTGAAATAGGAAAGAAAATAGCTTTGACAAATTGGTATCATTCTGAAGGTGTGTGGCCAGGAGGGGTACATGTGACAGGGAGACAGTGAGGAGTCAGTGTGTCCAGCCTTAGGTCAGCTCAGTACACATCCTGGCCACTGGCCCTCTGGGATGTCACTAGGCTGCTTTCACAGTGGGGACCAGGGTCTGGGAGTTCCTCTCCCCAGGTAGTGCTCCCATCAGAGAACGTGCTGCCCAAAACAAAATTTTGAGTCAACAGATTGCTCCCCACATGTCCCCGCTCTACAAAATTTAGTTAGATTTGTGGGCAGCACCTCAGAGCAGTTTTCTGTGGTTGGCCTCTAACACCCTCTGCCCCATGTGCTAAGTCTTGTCCCAGGAACCCTTCCCTCCTGACCTCCTTTCTGCAGCCATCAGAGCTGGGAGTTAGTGGGGGAGAATGGGGAGGAGGTATGATAACTCATTTATCACAAAACGCATATGAGGAGGCTTCAAAAAATTAGTGGAAAATGGAATGAAAAGATAATGGAACTTCCCCCCGAAGTGCTTGAAACCCTAAGTGTTTAGTGAGCTCCCCCTGAGCAAGTTCTGTCACCACAGTTGGACTGACTTTGCTAGCAGGGAGACCCTGTCCTGACCTGACCTGAGTCACTGATCAGCTGCTGGCTGGGCTATCCAAGCAGGATAATGGGGCACACAAGCATATAGGGCTCCTGCCCTCATCCCTAATTCTGAAGGGAGCTAGGATATTTCTTCAGTCTCCTGGAGACTTTCTGAAGATGTTCCTAGTTGCCTTCAAGCTGATTACGACTCCTGCCGACCCTACCTGTGCAGGGTAGAGCTGCTCGATAGAGTTCTCAACCCCATGATCCTTCAGAAACAGATCCACAGGCCTGTCTTCCAAGGCGCTTCTGAGTAGGCTTGAACTGCCAACCTTTCAGCTAATCCTCGAGCGCTTACCCATCTGCACTGCTCAAAGACTCCTGTCCTGAAGTTAGCAACACTCACTTGGTTTCTGGCCTAACGGGGACTAGGTTTAAGCCACATCTAAGACCATTTGCCCTCTCCCGTATCTCTCTTCTCTATTTTTTGAGGCTTGGTGTTCCCTAAGGAACCCAGATGGCACAGTGGTTAAATGCTCAGCTGCTAACCAAAAGGTCGGTGGTTCAAACCAAGCAGTCACTCTACAGGAAGAAGATGTGGCAGTCATTGCAGCGTTGGAAATCCTATAGGGCAGTTCTACTCCATCCTTTAGGGTCACTATGACTGAAGGCAGTGGGTTTGGTTTGGGTTTGGTGTCCCCTTACAGCCTGTGAGGAAATCAAAACCCCTGTTCATATTCCCCTTTCCTTCTTCCCCACTCCAAAATTCCTTCTCCCCTTTCCCAAAGTGAAGAAACAATGACGCTCCTCCTACCATCTTCCTGACTGGGCCCAGTAACATAGACTTTCCAGTTCACCACATTTGTTGAGCACCATATCATGGTCCAGAGGTCCGGACCATCCCCATTCTGGGTCTAACCTCCAGGGACAGCCGCGCAGTTCTCTGGGGGAGGAGTCCCAGTGCCCAGGCATCAGGCTCCTGCTAAGACCAGGTTTCTGATAGAGGGTTCAGGTAGCCTCTTCCTTCCTGTGCTCTCCCGCTGCTAAGCCCAGATCCTGAGGCCTGCAGCCTCTACTCACTGCTACATGCCAGAAGCAAACCTTCATGGTTTGTTCTCCAGGGATTTGGGCTATAGTTAAAGTGACTCAACCCCAGTTCCCTGCTTCCTGAGCCACTGAACACAAGGATACTCAGTTCTTCCTGTGAGACTTGCCCTTCCCTGCCTCTGTCTCCCAACCAGATCAGGCAGTGAGTACCTGAAAGCCTGGTGTGGTGCTGTAGGATTAGCACTGGGCTGCTAACCGCAAGGTCAGCAGTTTAAACCCACCAGCCGCTCTTAGAAACTCTGTACAGGGTCACTGTGAGTTGAAACTGACTCAGCACTTAACGTCAACAGTTCTGGCTGCTCCTGCAGAACGGCTGTCTGTGTGCTGCTTGAAATTAATGTAGAGAAAGTGCAGTCCAGGGGCATTTTGGCACATCTCTGTCACCTGACCTTCTGCCCAGAGAAGTTGTGCTACAAGGGAGAGATGAAGAATTACAACATTAGAATGCACTGCAGCCTTGACCTTTGTGATCCATCAGCACAAAGACTAACATCTGACCTCTGAAAATGAGTGAGAAGACTCTGGATATACTTGTGATGGTCCGTGTAGGGTACTATAAAGTGGAGAGAAAGGAGAGCATCCAAGAATGCCCACACTGATTGTAGTCTTGTGCAAACCAGATGAACACATCAGTTACAAACTAGATACGATAAGGAAGAGAGGGGGTGTGTGGTTGTTTTTTTTTAATACCATGATTGCTTTGTTTGCTGGTTGGTTGATTTTTAGCCATTAATAACTTTTTTTTAAGACACATGCGTCTTAGGCAAATTCTAGCAATAAAGTATGTATACTCATTTTTATATGAAAAATCCTACAAAATCCCACCACCCAGAAACAGCAGCTCTAGTTTGAGCACTCTCCTCATCAGCATGTGTGCCAGGCTTTATTTTAGAGACATGCTCTTTAACAGAGAGGGAGGACCCTGGGGAGCTCAGGCAGGCACAGTGCCAGCCAGGGCAAGCAGGGTGTTTCTGAAGGATGGAATTGCCATGAAGGAGGAACCGCAGGCCAGAGGCGAGGAGGCTCTCCCTGACTGTGAACATTGCAGAGATTAAAACTATCTGTGCAGGATTATAGCTCCTAATTAGGAAAGGAGATTTGTAGAAGGGGACCTTCCAGCATTCCTCAGCAGGGTTGTTTGCTTTTGAACTGCTGCAGGACATTTCTCCGCTCCGTGATTCAACTGGAAAATGTAAAGAGAAAAGGAATCAGATAGCTGTAGCTAATGAACAAGAGTTCAGCTGCTTCTCGGGACTTGCGTCGGCTACACGGGATTGCTGACATCAATTTTACTAGCTGGGAGGTCCCAGGGAACTCTAGTCCTAGGGACCCAGAGAGGGGAAAGAAGTGGCATACAACAATGCAGCCTCAGAAATTGGTGACCTGACACCCTTCCCTCACTGTGACCTGGCTGAGAGTGAATATCACCATGCCTTGTTGTTTGTTTGTTTGTTTGTTTTTTTAATGCCATTACAATAATGTATTATTCAGAAGCACAAAGAAAGAATTTGATTAGGGTGAAATAGTTCACACTGCAAAAGCTAGCTTCTCTTTACAGAAGGTATCACCACACGATTCCTTCCGATGGCAAGCTTTGCTTATGAGATTTAAAGTGGGTTTTTGTTTGCAAAACTTAGTTTTCTAGGATGCATGTACTTCATTGGCTGGCACGCCCAATGCCAAAACAGCACCAGAAGGGTTTGTGTTATCATTTCTGATGATGGATGCATAAGTATGTGGGGGAAGGGGCATTAGCAAAGCCTTAATGTGGGAGGGTGATGTCATGAGGACCCCAAATATACCTTGTGGGGCTCAGGACCAACTACATAATTTGTGGGGCCCAGTATAAAAGAAAAAGTCTGCATATTCAAAAAACTCATTAAGAATTTCAAGGTGGCAACACCTGACCATTAAACTAAATATGAGTCTTGTAAGGATGGGGCCTGGGGCATCGGTTATATAACCACGAAGCCACCCCAGGTCAAGGTGAGTGGAGGTGGGTGCCCTGAATATGAGGTGCACAGAGGTGAGAGGTTAGTAAGCCATGAATTTGTTCTGGTTAGCTTTGAGATACAAGAGACCATCACCTGCCAAATTTTATTTGGCTTAAGCTACTGGTAAAGCAAGTCATTCCTGAGATCATAGTGAGTGGGGTGATCCAAAAGAACTGTGTTATATCTGTTGTCAGCTACAGAGCTCCTGATGATGGGCTAGTCCTTGGGCCAGCACTGCAATTTAATTTTTATTTTCATAGAAATGTTAGTATAATGGGACAGTTACGAGTATAGATCTAGAGACAGGCACCTGGGTCCAGATCTCACTGGCTGTGAAGCAAAGTAATGAAAGATACCTACATTGTAGGGTGAGGTTAAAAAGTAAATGTGTTTATCTCTTTTGAGCTCTTTGCCCAGTGCTTGGCATGTGGTGGTGGTGGTGGTGGTGGTGTCCATCCCGACTCACAGAGGTCCTGCACAGGGTTTCTAAGGCTGTAAATCTTTATGGGGGCAGAAGACCTCATCTTTTACCCACAGAACAGCTGGTAGTTTCGAACTGCTGACATTGAGGTTAACAGCCGATTCATAACCACTACGCTACTAGAGCTCCTTCGGGAAGCTTTGTAGTTTGATCTAAAAGAGTGGCACACCAAGCTCAGGTGTAAGTGGATAACTATGCATTCCTGACTTAACGCCTATCTGTCCATTTAGCACACGTGTGCGGAACTCGTGTCTGTGGGGGCTGTCTTGGTGCTGAAGATGTATGTAGATGGGAGATGGGGCACAGAGTATAGCAGTAACTACTACCACATCTGTCAGTCCACAATGAGGGGGTTGGGAGCACAGGGATGAGAGGACTTGCTCTACCTGGAGACCTTTGGGGAGGCTCTGTGTAGGGCAACATTCTAGTCTGGGCTTCAGAGAATAGAAGGCAAGGACTGAGGAGCCCTCCAGCCTGTGGTGCACAATGTAGAGTCCAGGTGGGGCAAACTCATCATGTGCTTGACCGCTAGCTGAAAATCTGGAGATTTAAGCCCACCCGAGGTACCCTCAGGAGAAAAGCCTGGTGACCTACTTCTGAAAAAGCAGCCACGGACAACCCGTGACACACCTGGGATCACTTTCAGTCAGAGTAGACTCAACAGCACCTGGGCGTGGTGTGCCATGTGATAAGTGAATGGTGAACGTCTATAAGCTAAATTCTTTCCACCTCAGCCTCAGAAGCAGTAGGTGGCAATAGGTAGGTGATACCACAAAAAGCCACTGAGTGAACTGAGAAGAGACCAGGCCACAATACCTCTGGAGAGTCCCATCTTTTTTAATTCGGGTGGCAGGAGAGGTGGGCCACACAGTGTGAGTTTGGGGCTGTGGAAGTTTGCCTGCATGTGGAGCTGGGGAGATTCCTTACTGACCCTTACCTTTGACCTCATTTTGTCACCTCTACTCTTCTGCTCTTATCTCCCCAGGGTCAGTGGACTTTCCCCCTTCATGGGTGATAATGATAATGAAACTTTAGCCAACGTTACCTCAGCCACCTGGGACTTCGACGATGAGGCGTTCGATGAGATCTCCGATGATGCCAAGGATTTTATCAGCAGTCTGCTGAAGAAAGATATGAAGTAATGAGCTGGGCTTTCAGTCCTTTCAGCTTCCCCACATCCTGGACTGGTGTCAGGATGGACGGGTTTCTCTCGTCTTTCTGAGAATGGGAGGGTGGGCATTGAGCGGGACCAAGCCAATTGTGTGTGGAGGGATGGAAGGGCATCTTCCTAGGCCTCACTTCCCTGACTTGATACCATACCAGTCTTTCAAGTCATGAATTCTCACAAAGAACTAAAGCCACACCTGACTGAGCATCGCAGCTCTGTGTATAATGCCTGCAGTTGTGTGTGTATGATGGTGGCTTGTGGAAGCCCTGACTCTTCAGGGACCCTGGAAGTAGCCTCTCAAAGTGCAAGAGCAGATGACAGAGGGTCCACTAGAAAGCATCCCGGAGCCCCACTCATCTGCCAGATTACCTGGCTTTGTGTTTTCTCAGATCTAGATTCTTTAAGAACTGCCTGCCTATATCTGGCCAGAGTTAGGTTGTGACCTCAGCCCTCCCCTCACTCTGTCCCTGTGCTCCCACCACAACATTGCAGGCTGCGAGGGTCCCCACCTCTGCCTTGGGGGGGCTGCCCACATGGTCAGAGGATGACTTAAACAGTTGTGACCAATGGTAGGTAGTGTGTTCCAGTGTCTGGTTGTGCAGAAACCTCAGACCCCAGGTACTAGCTGAGAGTGGAGTGGGTGGGGCTGTAGCGGGAGACTAGGGCAGAGGAGGGGAGATTTAAGGCAGGCCCTGGGGGTGGCTGGACTGAATGAACTGGTGAAGACTCTCCTGGTGAGGGAACCAGCTAGATTAAAACAAGACGACGAGAGGAGCTCTGAGATGTGACGGGAAGGCTGACCTGTCCCAGAGGGAGGATGGACTGGAGGTGTCAGGTGTCTGTCCCCACTCCCCACTAAAAATCCCACTTCTGTCAAGTCAATTCCAATTCATAGCAACCCTACAGGACAGAGTCAGACTATCACATGGGGTCTACAAAGCTGTAAATCTTTACAGAGCCAACTGCCAGATCGGTCTCTCATGGAGCAGCTGGTGGGTTTGAACCGCACACTTTATGGTTAGCAGCTGGGTGCTTTTGATGCTGCTCCACCATGCTGTAAATCAAGTGGCTAGATAAGGCAGGGCCTGCCTCCAGGTGCTCCCAGGATTTCAGAGTGATATTTGGCAACAGAGAGCAGCTGGAAGGCTTGTCAGAGGCGAGTGATGTTGAAATAGGGTTGTGCCAGAACATGAGGGGCGGGACAGTCTCCAGGGGTAGAGGGAGGTCCTGCACTCACTCAGTCTTGTGACTGTGCAGCCAAGGCATCTAGCCCAGTCTCCCTGGCCCAGAGACCCCACTGAGGCAGCCAGCCTGATTGTTCCCTCTGGAGAAATGCAGTTTGAGACAGAAGATCACCGCTTCTAAAGCAGCTATAGTGGAGGCCTCGATGCTTCTCTCTGGTTTTCCAGTCACCCATCACCTCAAGGCCACATTCCTCAAGAGACTACCACACCCCATTCTCTGTGACCGAGAGGTTGTGTGGTATTTTGCTGTAATGGGCTTTGTATCAGAATTAGACATGCTGCCTGCGGAAGCAAGATGTTGTTGGAGGTGGGGTCTATGCTACCTTCCATTTTGAGGGATCCACCACTTCCCAGGTGCCTCAGTGCTAATCACTCTGGTCCAAAGATGGCCTTTAGCAATCAAGCATTGGTCACTGAGGACTGGGACAAGGTGTCCTGTATACACTCTGTTTTCTTTTCTGATCTTGAATTCATTCAGTAACGGACAGCTTTGGATCCCTCTGTGCTCATAAAATGGACTCACCAAGGAACTGATCTTACTGAAATAGATTAAGACGTTAGAACCCCATAAACTCTTATCCCAGAAATCTCCACCTAACAGCACTTTTGGAAATATTTATATTATAAAAAATAGTATGTGTACATTGTAGAAAATTTTAAGAACATAAGACAATTAGAATCATCCAGAACCCCTTTAGCTAAACATCACTGCATTTTGGTTATACTTCTTTCCAGTCAATTTTATATGCATGTTAGTATTTGGTTCGTTGAGTTTTATTAGAGCTGGGACAACTAAGGTTTATGATAATGACCCAGATATATTTCTAGATTCCCAGACCTTTCAGAGAGATTATGTGTGTGTTAGTGTAATTCTAAGGTTATCATAATTCATGGGTTATATGAAGCACATACCTCTTCGAGTTATAATAAGAAAGTCCCAATATTCAACCATATGTTAAAACATGGAGTTAAATGATTCTCAGAGGTTTTGGCCCAGTCTATCAGTCACTCTCTCTCCCAGACAGATGTTCAGAAGGATTAGGCCCCAGGGATCAATACAAAGAGCCCAGGCAAGTCAGCCCTCCAGCACTTACCTGTCCTAGACCCCAAGTGCAAGTCATGAAACACCATGCTTCCTTGGTGGTGAGGCCTTCTCAACACAGGCCTTGGCTGGGTCCACTCAGTGCAACCCAGACCAAGAGGGGAAAAAAACAAGAGCACAATGACCTGGGTCATGGATGGACTAGGAGCAGGGAGCCCTGGACTCGTGTCTGATCTGGTCTCTGAGGTTCCCTTCTGCTCAGAAATCCTCTAATCTCTGCCTCTATCAGAAACCGCCTGGACTGTACCCAGTGTCTTCAGCATCCCTGGCTAACAAAAGACACCAAGAACATGGAAGCCAAGAAGCTTTCCAAGGACCGCATGAAGAAGTACATGGCCAGAAGGAAATGGCAGGTAATGTGAAGTTGTACTTGCTAAATTCAAACCACCCTCATTCCCAGCTTCCCCTGGCCTCACTCCAGAAAATTTTCAGTTGCTTCTAGAATCAGCTGGGACCAATTTAGGCAGCGAGTATAGGTAGGGTTCTGCTGTTATTTCTGTCACCGGCCCAGCGTTGCTCAAGGGAGATGGGTTTCTGGGCTGCAACGGTCTCTCCAGTTCTGCTTAGCCTTGTCCCAGAGGGTCCAGTGAGGGAAGGCCTCAGGCAGCTTGGCCTGAGCTGGCTCATGCCCCTGACATTTTCATGTCTTCATGGTAGGAATGAGCAATGTTACCTTTAGGTCTACTTGGCAAACCTGGAGAATGTGATCTCCTTACAGGTATTCTGATAGTCTTACATTTCTTTATGATGAAAGACGAAGCCACATGATGTAAAGAAACAGGGAGTTCTTAAGTGGAACAAACAGTTAATGTGCTTAGCTGCTAACCTAAAAGTTGGAGGTTTGAGTTTACCCAGAGGCACCTTAGAAGAAAGTTCTGGAAATCTACTACCAAAAAGTCAGTTCTGGCTATTTACCCTCTAAGAAGGTCATATGTTACTAGCTGCATGTCTTTGGATAACTTTGCTGTGACTTTGTTTTCACATCTGAAAGTGAGGTTAAGAGTGATACCAACTTGACAGTATTGTGAGAATTAAATGAGTCCTGACGAGGCACGGTAAGATAAGCACTGGGCTGCTAACCACAGGGTCAGTAGTTCAAATCCGCCAGCTACTCCTCAGAAACTCTATGCTGGGTCACTATGAGTCAGAACCAACTCGAAGGCACACAATAGCAGCCTTCAAATGGCTTGTAGCACAATGCCTGGCACACAGTAAGGGCTCAAAGGTGGTAATAGTAGCTAATCTGTATTGAGGGCTGACCGTGTGTTAGGGATGTGCCAAGCCCATGTATTAAGTTTTTCAATCCTGTGAGGTAGGTATCATTATTAGCCCACTTTATAGACAAACTGAGGCAGAAAAGGGTTAGGAACCTGTCCCAGGACCACATAGATAAGAAGAAGGATCAGACCCAGAAAATGGCTCCACATCATGTAGTCTTCATAACAACACGAAATTGCCTTTGATAACAAAATTGATAAAATTATCACCCAAAGTCATAGGGTAATCATCATCATCCTCATCATCTGTTTTTATTTTTGCTATCACTATTGCCATTTGGGAGTCTTGGTGTGGTGCTGTGGGTTAATGCTCTGGACTGCAAAGTCGGTTTGAACCACAAGGTCTGCAGTTCAAGCTCACCAGCTGCTTCTTGGAAACCCTATACAGACTCGCTATGGGTGGGAACTGACTCAACGGCACTTAACAACAACAACAACATTACCATCTAACCATTCCTGGGCTACAAGAGGGTACATGGTTCCTATAGTCGAGGAATGTACAGTGTAATGAAGATTGGAAGCAGATAGACATAAAAGGGCATAGCACGCACCAAGAATGATAAACTATCAGTATAGCTCTCCATAACCATATATGAGTGTAGCTGGGAGAATGGAGCCAGTCCAAGCAGAGTTGGGTATATGATAAGGACATGCTCGCAGAGGAGGGCTTTAAAGTGGGCATGGAATGTGGGTTAGAAGAAAGAGAAGCAAGTATAAGACTGGGTCTGCAAGGTCTGTACACTTGGCTTGACAAGAGCTGGAGAGTCAGGGAATCTGAGGGCATTTCGACCTCTTAGTTGTTGCTAAGTGATGTGGAGTCGGTTCCGACCTATAGAGACCCATTATAGGGTTCCCAAGGAGTCGTGGCTTTGCACCATCAACCTGGTGGTTAGCAGTCCTGTGCTTATCCTACAGCACCACACCAGGACTCCAGACCTTTTTAAATGACAGAGACAAAGGAGATCGCTTGTTACAGGGACAAAAGGGACACAGGTAATTTGCCACACAAGGTGCCAATCAGAGTTCCCTTGAAAAACCCAACTTCATGCAAAGTTTCATGCAGAGGTTGAGAGACGGAGCAAAGGCGGATGCAAGCTCCACTGGTATGGGTTCAGGTGTGGTCCAGTGGAATGCCTCTTCAGTAGGAGTTAGTTCTTGGTCAGCCCCCTCTGTGAGATTTGGGTGGGTCTGAAATATAGCATGAGAGTTGGAACACCTGCCTTGCCCTCTGCTGCTGTTAAAATCGAACCAAACTCACTGGCAAGTCGATTCTGACTCACAGCGACCCTATTGGACAGGGTAGAATTACTCCTTAGAGTTTCCAAGACTATAAATCTTTGTGGGAACAGGCAGCCACATCTGCCTCCCTTGTAACAATGTGGAGTTAAATTGCCAGTACTTAACCCACAGGGCTCCTTCTGGTGTTTTTGTTGTTGTTAAATACCATGAAATTGGTTCTGACCCCTATGCACCACAAAATGAAACACTGCCCAGTCCTGCGCCATCCTCACCATTGTTATTATGCTTGAACCCATTGCTGCTGCCACTGTGTCAATCCAGCTCATTGTGGGTCTTCATCTTTTTCTCTGACCCGCCACTTTCCCAAACATGATCTCCTTCTCTAGGGACTGCTAACCTTCTGATAGCATGTCCAAATTTGAGAGACAAAGTCTCACCATCCTCACTTCTGAGGAGCATTCTGACTGTACTTCTTCCAATACAGATTTGTTTGTTCTTCTGACAGTCTATGGTACCTTTAATTGTCTCCTCCAACACTGTAACTCAAATGCATCAAATCTTCTAATGTCTTTCTTATTCATTGTCAAGCCTTCACATGCATATAAGGCTATCGAAAATACCATGGCTTGAATCAGGCTGCACCTTAGTCCTCAAACTGGTCTCCTTGCTCTTTAACACTTTAAAGAGGTTTTGTGCAGCAGATTTGCCTAATACAATACATTGTTTGATTTCTTGGCTGCAGTTTACAAAGGTGTTGATTGTGGATCCAAGCAAAATGAAGTTTTTGACAATTTCAAAATTTTTTGAAGAATGACCAAAGAGAGCGTATCAAACAATTCAATTTTTTTCTTGTAATATCATGACATTTTTCTGCTTATTGGGAGCATCACTAGTGATATTTTATATGGGTCCTACATTATTATTCAAATTTTACGGTACTGCACTAAACATTATGAAAAACGGGAGAATTGCAAGAGATATTTCTTACTGTGATACACAATTTATTGAAGAAAAACTGCTCCCATAGAGATCATTAGTGTGGCACAATATTTCTTTTAAATCCACTTAATAAGTGGGCCTTTGCAGTCTAAGGGTCAACTGCAGTATGTAAACAAAGTCCTAATGACTATGCTGGAGTCCTAGTGTGGCTCTGTGGGCTAATGCGTCAGACTGCAAAGCTGTTTGAACTGCAAGGTCAGTGGTTCAAGCTCACCAGCTGCTCCTTGGAAACCCTATACAGGGTTGCTATGGTTGTAATCGACTCCACCACGGCACTTGACAATAATAATGACTAAGCTGTACATATGTAGATGACTAATAATCAACTCAACAGTGCTTAACATATGATTGATTTTATTGTTGTTGTTAAGTGCTGTCAAGCTGGTTCCGACTAGCAACCCTGTAAAGGGTTTCCAAGGCTATAAATCTTTGCGGGAGCAGAAAGCCTCATCTGTATCCCATGGAGCAGCTGTTGTTACATGTCATCGAGTCAGTTCTGACCCATAGCGACCCTGTATAAGATTTGTGAGGAGCAGCTAGTGAGCTTGAACCACTGGTCTTGCAGTTCAAACTGACTTTGCAGTCCAGCGCATTAACCCACAGCGCCACACCAGTACTCCACAGACCTTGTAGTCCAGTGTTTATCATATGGAGCCACCACACTCCCACTATTGATCTTAGAATTCAGTTAGTCCAAAAAGGGCATACTTTAAATTTATATTAAAAGGAAATGTAAAAGGCATTTAGTGAGGAATAGCAAATGTGGGTAAGGAAATTGAACAGGCTTCTGTGTGCAAATTGGAAGCAAAGGCATTGGAGGCTCGTTGGTAGCCATCTTTATTTTCTTGGTCATAAAGAAGTACACATTTGATTCAATATAGCACAAATGATTTTTCATACCTACCACATTTGGATACTATGCAATTCCTAGGGGACTTCTGGTATAAACATGGGGCTTATGAAGGTTGTCTGGTTCTAGGGTGACCAACTTGTCCCGGTTTGGAGGGGACTGTCCTGATTTTAGCACTAAATGACCCATTTCCTGGGAAACACTACAGCCCTGGGAAAATTGAAATGGTTGGTCATCCTAACTGGCTCTAAAAGCGAGGGCCCTGCCCACAAGAAAGAAAGAGACTTTTCTAAAAAGAGAAATGAGAGAATTGAAACCTTACTTTTTTGATGCTCCAAACATTTTCAATCATTCAGTAAAGGAACAACCAATTTTCTGCTCAAAGTCTGGAAAACTAGAACATACAGATATATTTCTTTTTCATTTCTGCAAAATATCTTTTTCATAAAACAGTTTCCTATGATTAAATTCTGAAGCAGATAACTTTAAAGATTTTCTTTATAAAGCATTTCTTGTATTTCTCCCGCATGCTGGCAACTCATATTAGTCATTTTACTAAGAAATAAAATGAAGAAAAGGCATCATCTCTCTTCCTCATATCAGTGAAGACCAAATCCCAGTCAATCTCAATCCAGATGCTAGAATTAGGGAGTCCTGCTGCATATGTATGGGACTGGGGAAAACCAGAGCTGCAGGAAGCTCAGAATCTTCTAATCACCTCATTATTAACCAAGGATACTGAAATCCAGAGAGGGCAAGTGGCTTACACGAGGTCACACGGCAATCTGTAGTGACAGAGAACTAATCTGTCCCTTGTTGGGAATAGACCTTCTGAGTGAAGAAAGTCCTGGCCCAGGACAAGTCAGTATGTATATAGGCTAAAGGGAATAAAGACCTAAGAAGGACAAAGCTGGTGAGGAACTAGGCTGGTCTGTTGTTGACTCATAGTGAGAACTGTTGCGGCCACTTCTTGCCTGAGGCCAGGGTAAGATCTCACAGGAAGAGCTGGGTCTCAGCAGTAATCTCTCCCCAGGAGAGCAGGGAGGATTGCCAAGTGGTCTGCAGGCCAACACAGTTCAGCTGCTCATTGCTTCAGTGTCTTCTCCTCCTGACCAGCCCCACCTGATGTTCAGAGTGACCCCACCCTTTCAGGCACCCTACTTCCTCATGACAGCTGAAGGCCAGACCCAGACCCACACCATGCAGGGGTGTGTGTGAGAGGGCAGGTGGCCAGAGGGCACAGCCAGATAGAATGCCTGTCTAAAGTGCATGAAAACAGTCTGTAACAAGGTCAGGTGACATCACATCAGAAAATTGATCATGGTCATCAGTGGTGAGGCTCCACTTAAACCACACACACATACACAATTTGAAGTTAGAGGCCTGCTTTCTAGATTGCTCAAGATTGTGAGGTTTTACTGAAATATATTGAGTGTGTAAAGTTAATTCAGGCAGAAAGTGGCTTTGCCGGCAGAAGTTGAATGAGATCCAATGAGAATGCAAATTAGCTGAATATCTATGACAAGGCTGTGGCCTAACTGGCTCTCAGAAGGGCTCTCAGAAGAGTGAGCAGCCAGTGCGTGGTGGCATCTGCCTGCAGGGAGCACAGCATGTGGATGCCTGAAATGATGTTTCTGGGAGGCAGGTGGGAAGGACTTGATCATGGCTTCATTTTCTTATCTCCATCATTCCCAACTGCCTTTAAAAGTGGCTGAGGAACTTTGAAGGGTGAGAAACAGACACAGCTGTACATTACTGGGGACTTCTCTGCCCAAATCCACATTCAATAGAATTTTCACAGTGCCAAGAAAAGGCCTGTCAAGTTTTAACACTGTCCTGAGAAATTCTGCCCTGTTCTAAGGCAGCTAGTCTCAGAAAAGCAACGTGGTATTGAATTTTATTTTCCTCAGGTGCTTCTTTTGAATGCCTGCATGCACATCAGGGAAGAACAGTCTCCACAACCTCACTGTACAGCCATGGGCTTGTGCTGGGCCTAGCCAGAAAGTTTCTGGAAATCTCTTAAGTATCTGAATCATAAATAGAACTAAATGGGGCCTTGGAAACTATCTTATCCAACCCCTTCTTTACACAGAAAGGGAAACTGAAGCTCAGAGACCTATATTAGTTGCCCAAGATCAAGAGAATGCTTTTTTCTTTTCTTTTGCCTGAAGATCTGTGGGGTCTGTAGTAACTATGGTCTTGACCAATTAGAATCCTCTCACTTGCATTGTTTTATGAGAAACGGCCTCACTGGACTCAGTTAGCAATAAGTCTTTGGAGCTGTCTCAGCCTGCAGTTGCTTTATATAAACTATCCCTTTTATGGGAGTTGAAGCACAGTATGAGAAGAGTTTTTGTCTCATGTTGACCTTGTTTAGTCACATTAACGCACACATCAGTTCCAAGGCCCCATTCCATTCTCTGAACATCTTCTGACATACAGATAGTGCTGAGCAGAGCAAGGTTGGGCTCACTCCTCTGGCAGGACCTCAGAACTCAGAGGCCCGCCTTCCAGGGAACACAACTGCTTCTCTTGGGCTGAGCTGGATTCTTCTCCTCAGAGCCCCGAGCACTGCCCAGCTGAACCCAGGGACGCCTATCGACCCCAACCCCAGTGTCTATTTTCCAGAAAACGGGCAATGCTGTGAGAGCCATTGGAAGACTGTCCTCTATGGCAATGATCTCAGGACTCAGCGGCAGGAAATCCTCAACAGGGTCACCAACCAGTCCGCTCCATGCAGAGAAACTAGAATCTGAAGGTAAGGAGGTGTGGGAGGCATTTTCCAACCAGTTGATGAGGTTGGGAGATAGAGAAACATCCTGAGAATCTTTGTTGGTTTTTTCAAATTTTGAGTTGTTTTTTTGTAAAAGAATAATCTAAAGATAAATTCAGAACCACTTCTGGGTTGCCCTGACACTGAATCTAGAAGTTATTTTTAATGGCTTAATCCTAAAGGTAACTATTTTCAAAGGGCATACTATTTTTCATCCATTCAAACTGGATGACCCCAGCTAGTCTTTTGCCTATATGTTTTATAAGAATTAGTAAAGTATTATTAAAAGAAAATCTCCTTGTTATAAAAATCATACTTAGATATCGAGAGAAAAAAATACCATAAAAAGCACATAAAACTGTGTAGCTTTAAAAAATATATTTCCTCTTTTCTTTTTTTTTTTTCCATGCCTTTGTGTTTTTATTTTAAACAAAAATTAACTTATATAGAATTAATGTCATATTTGGGCATTTTTCATGATGCTGAACCACAGGTAGATTGTGATTGGAAGGCTTCTTCCTGGAGACCAGTAGGCTGGTGACTTGCCCCTTTTAGAGGCTCTCCCTCCATCTCCTCAGCCAAGGCCTCAGTCTCTTCCTATTTCAGGAGCACACAGGGCCTGACCCTTATTGTCCCTGAAGCACCTCATGTGGGCAGCGTTCCCCTGTGATACCTGGTGCTCTTGGTACCCACAGGTGAGAAGTTCAAGTCTAGATCCCTTTTGTGCACAAAAGAGGCTGCCAGGCTGCTGAGAAGCTTCCTTGTGTGTGGGGACTGAGTCTGCAATGCATGGGCTTGGTCCTTCCTACCCACTCCTGCCACTGCCCAGATGACCTAGCAGTAACAGGAAGGAGACCCCTCAGAATTACAGCTTTGCCCAGGACTTATCTCAAACCCTGATCTGCAGTGATACAAAATGGCCATACTGCCAAAGGTGGAGAATAAAACTGCTGGCAAGTTGGAGATGCCTCTAGGCTCTGGCCCATCCCTTCTAAGGAGCAGACTGAACAATCTGTTGGAGAAGGAGGGAAAAGGGGCACAGAGACCAGAAAAGTGGGTTCCGCCCTTCCCAAATATGTTCAACTGAATCCTGAAACAGCATGAAAAGCAGCCAAAAATCCTTCTTAAAGATGACTTCCTTTTTAAATGTGTCAGCATAAGGGAAGAGGGGACCCTGAACACAGCCTCCATTTGGACCCAGCTCTCTCTTCTGCCAGAAGCCATTTGGCAGTGGACCAACCTGTCCTTGGGAGAAAGGCATGATTATCATCCAGTTCTCTAAGATGCCGTATTTGCTAAATTATACAAATTTAAGGGGAGCGGGGGGAGGGAATCAGCTTTCCAATGAGGGGAGAGGAGAGAAGAAGGAATGGAGAATGACCGAGTCCTCTGCTTGTCTTCTAGAAGATGTCTCTCAAGCTTTCCTTGAGGCTGTTGCTGAGGAAAAGCCCCATGTCAAACCCTATTTCTCTAAGACCATCCGTGACTTAGAAGTTGTGGAGGGAAGTGCTGCTAGATTTGACTGCAAGATTGAAGGTAAGTTGTAGCTCTCCTTCCCTTTACCACATGTAGGGGATGGCCTGCTGGCAGGTCACCCACCATGTGCCCAGGCAAGAGCTCTGTTGTATGCAGCCTAGAAGTGGTTAGGAACAGCCAGGCTGTGAGGAAATAGCCACTCCTTTTCCCCTGCTTCCGGAAGAATGAATGCTCTTCAGTGACTTACAGAGGGGCACATTTGTCATTTTGCCTGCTTACCCAGCCACTGAGCCTAAGTTAAAAGGATGTGTCATGGGTCCCAATGGCTATGGAACATGCCTAATGAAATGGGCCCACAAGAAGCTCTCAAAGGAAGGTTGGTACAAAGGGCATAGGATGTGGGGCTGTGTGACCTTGGATGTCACCTCGCTCTTCGGAGACTCAAGCCCATCTCTTTAAAGTGATGTCTCATGCACTGAGTTTCTGGGTGATTCTGAGATGACATATGTAGAAAAAAAGGAAGCCTTTTAAGTCTTTTAAAGATGCTATGGAGTACAGGAGCTCTGGTAGCGTAGTGGTTACGAATCGGGCTGCGAACCTTAAGGTCAGCGGTTCGAAACTACCAGCCGCTCCGCAGGAGAAAGATGATGCTTTCTACTCCCATAAGGATTTACACCCTCGGAAACCCTGTAAAGGGTCGCTATGGGTCGGAACCGACTCGACGGCACTTAACAACAACAACAAATGGAGTACAGGAATAAGTTGTGAGGTGTGACTTCAAACTGAAGGTAGGTTGGAATCCAGGTGCTTGGGACAGACCCTTCCATCTGCCATCTCCCCAGGTTCCTCGCTGTTTGCTGGAAGAATACATTGTATGATCATGAGTTGTGTGAGCTCAAGGGAGCTACACCGATCTTAGTGTAGCACCTGAACATTTAGCAATATTGGTGATGCCCCAGATTGCAACATTCTAGAAAGGTAAGCAGCCAGTGCAGACGGGCCTGTTTGCCTAAAGGCTGTGACTGTTAGTTGCCAACCAGAGTGCAGGGTTTTTCCCATTTCAATCTGACCAGATTAAGCACAGAAGTTTATGAAACAACCTTCCCAAGGCCACGTAGCACAGGACAGCAGAGTCCAAATAAGCTATTCTCCAGCAATGTGACTATCTACTGCCTTTTGGGTAAAATAACCCAGAGTTAGGAATGAAAACAACAAGTTTTCTCTGGTGTCTTTATATTATGAAAATGCCTTGTATGACTTTCCCCTACTATAATATTCCTCCCTTTCAACTTAACTAAAAAAATAAGTAAGTAAAGTGGAAGGAGACTCCGGGTGGTGCAAATGGCTAAGCACTTGACTACTACTCTAAAGGTTGGTGGCTCAAACCCACCCAGAGGCACTTTGGAAGATAGGCCTGGCTGTCCACTTCTGAAAGGTCACAGCCTTGAAAACCCTGTAGAGCAGTTCCGTTCTGCACACGTGGGGCAGTAGCCACAATAATAGCAGATCAAATCTGGCAAACAATGATAGCTCACAAACAGTGAAGTGGCGGACGGCCTTCTCCAGTGTGGAAATGCTCAGGTTCAGGGCTCTGCTGGAAGCTTGGGAACCATGCCTGTAACTCTCACCATTACCATTTTCTTTAGGTCTTCTGAAATTGTTTCCTTTTTAAAAATTACTATAACATAGTGATTATTATTTGTATGCTAATTTTTCTCTTTGGGATGATTTCCTTGGTATTTGTTTAACTTCTGACTGAAGGAAGGGCTGGTGAGACTAAAGCATTTGGGTGCTGCATTTTGGTTTTCGTTTTCATGTAGATATTGTTTTGATAACATTTAAATTTCTACTTTAAAGAAAGATAGAATTCTTAAATTCTCACATACAATTTTTATTCTGATTGGGGCTATAATTCTTTCTGTAAAACAGTTTTTCCAATTTATGAGAGCAAGTCAGTTGGAATGTATTATACAGCTGTGGCACTATAGAATAAGCACTGGACTACGAACCGAAAAGTTGGTGGTCCAAACCCACCAGCTGCTCCTCAGCAACCCTATACAGGGTAGCTATGAGACGGAACCAACTCGATGGCACTTAGCAAGTATATGCATATGTCTGTATTGTATACATTTTTCATGGTGAACTTTGCAGAAATCTGACTAATGCATAAAGTGAAGCTACTCAGCGTGCTCGATTTCCAGTTCACTACAGGCCGATTATCTGCTTTGGAACAGACTCAGACAAACATGGCTGTATTTTTCCTAGCAATATCAGCTCCTCTAACTTACACTTTACATATCTGTAAGCAACCTTACTGAGCTACAGTTTGTAGACACCCATTTTAAGTATACAGTTTATTTTTACTAGGTTACAGAGTTCTGAAACCAGCACCACAATCCAATATTAGAAAATTTCCATCACCCCAAAAAAGAACTCCTGCGTCCATTTGCTCAGTTATTTTTCATTTTAATTTATTTATTTAAGTTAAACTTTTCTACAAGATTTTTACATTTTTATTTCCATCTAAGAAGATCTTTAGCTCTGAGTGTAGTGTATAGTTGCAGTTGGGGTAATATTGCTGGTAGTATTGCTATATCCGGTTAAAGGAAGAATGAGGGCAGGTGCTGTTGTTGTGAAGTGCCGTCAAGTCAGTTCCGACCCACAGCGACCCTGTATAGGGTTTCCGAGGAGCAGCTGGTGAGCTTGAACCACTAACCTTGCAGTTCAAATGGCTTTGCAGTCTGGTGCATTAACCCACAGAACCACACCAGGACTCCAGGGGTGGTGGTGGTGGTTATGTGCTGTGGAGTTGGTTCCAACTCATAGCGACCCTGCACAGGGTTTCCGAGGCTGTAAATCTTTACAGGAGCAGAAAACCTTGTCTTTCTCCCGGGGGACAGCTGGTAATTTTGAACTGCTGACCCTGAGGTTAGCAGTCCGATCCGTAACCACTACGCTACCAGAGCTCCTTCCAAGGGGTAGGTATAACCAACTTTAAAATACTCTACTTGTGGTTTCAAATATTAGGATTTATAATACACACCCGTTTTCAAATGTAAATATCCGAATGGATACAAAAAGGAACCCTCATACCTTTTTGTTCTGTTGTCCTCTTAATCAATAGAGGTAACTTAGAAGTTTTTAGCATGAATGGATGAGAGATTTTGAATCACAATTTCTCCCTGTGATGCAGGATATCCAGACCCTGAGGTCGTCTGGTTCAAAGATGATCAGTCCATCAGGGAGTCCCGCCACTTCCAGATAGACTACGATGAGGATGGGAACTGCTCTCTAATTATTAGTGATGTCTGTGGAGATGACGACGCCAAGTACACCTGCAAGGCTGTCAACAGTCTTGGAGAAGCCACCTGCACAGCAGAGCTCATTGTGGAAACCATGGAGGAAGGCGAAGGGGAAGGCGAAGAGGAAGAGTGAGATAGAGCCTAAAAGAAGCTATTTCTAAGTCAAAAAGACTGTTTCTCTAAGTCAAAAACAACAAAAACCAAGATATTAAAAGCACCTAGTGTGGTAGAGTATCTAGTTAAGTCATTTGGGGTTGATTCTTCAGCGAGAGCAGTTGATACCCAGCAGCGTAATCTATCAATGGGCATTAATCTGAATTAGCCGGCACCTTAAGGAACCCTGGTGGCATAGTGGATTATGCATTGGACTGCTAACCACAAGGTCAGCAGTTCAAATCCACCAGCTGCTCCATGGGAGAAAGATGAGACTTTTCTGCTCCTGTAAAGATTTACAATCTTGGAAACCCTATACAGGGTTACTATGAGTTTGGAAGCGACTCCACGGTAAACAACCACTACCACTACCACCAGCCGGCACCTTAAGGTGTGAGTGCACTTAGATTTCATTTAGGGAAATCATCTAGTAAGTGGCCTGAGCAACTGATTTTAAAACAAAAGTAACCAAAAATAACTAAATAAATAAATTAGTAACCAAAGGGGCAAAGTCATAAATTCTCTAACTGAAGGCACTCATGAGAAATCAGGCCCAAACAAGGGACCCTGGGCCCTGCAACCATAGCCCAGCCCAGAGGAGCCTTGGAATTAGGAAGTGTCTCTCTCCCAGCCCTGACTACCAAACAACGGGCTCATCCTCTGTCCTGCAGCACTTCATTCTGAAAGCTGTTGAACCACTTGACCTTATGAGACACGTTTTAGTCCAAAGCATACTGTAGAAGTTTGAACTTTTCATTTCTCTCCCCTGTCCCTCCTGTCAGTTTCCCTGGATCTGAACTTGCCATGAGTTAAAGCATTAAGCACCAAGGACACTAGATTCTGAAGACAGGTTAGGAAAGCAGAAGCTCCTTCCTTACGAAATAAGAAATCTAAATGTAGCCCCTCTTTGAAAGTGTTTAGCAGCTTCCGGCATTTGTATAAGAACACATGAAAAAAAGAAAAATCCTTGCTGATGTGTGTTCCTTGTTCAATCTGTATTCTTCATATATGTGCTGGTATAAGATATCAGTTCTGCCTGTGTAGTAACAATTTTTGTGATTGAATGTATGAAAAGCCAGTTTGCTGAAAAGTTAGCTTTAATTATTTATTGGCCACCAAGAAACAGATTTCAGCTTATGAAAAGTTGTAGACCACCACATACTTTGGAAATCTCCTTCCAGACAGTCTAAGCTTAATACATCTGCATTCTAAACTCTCTCCAAAGAACACCCTTCTTCTGGGTTCCACAATAGTCTTCTTTTTGAAGTGCAACAACCATACCTTGCCTCCAACCTTGAAATATATCATTAGACCTGACAAACGCACTCAGATTTACATCTTTAGGATTTGTGTTTACTTTCTTTCACAACATTGACACTTAACGTTTTTCTTCATAGGACTTTTTGAAGGCCATAAACTGATATAACTAATGCATTCCCTCTGTGTGCCGGTGTGTGTATGTGTGTGTGTGACATTCCAAATATTTTTCTTTCTTTCCACTGTTTGTAAAGTGCAGCAACTTAGTATTTCATGGGACTCTTTAATAGCTCCTTAAGAACCAATTTTAAATTACTTTTGTACAATCCCTACACAGTATCAACATTAGGATTTTGACATTATTTAGTTTTATGTTATCTGTTTTTATCTGCTTTTGGTTGCTAGTTTCAAATTGCCAGTATTTTCCCTTTTCCTTTTGCTTTTAAAGTTTTAATATTTTTCATAATAGCCACAGTATTACCACAGTTTACTATAAGAAAGAGTTTTAAACTTGATTTAGAGCATCCAAAGCTTTTATTCCCCTCACTTTAAATTGTGTTTGGGCTATAATCTTCGTGTGTGTGTGTGGGTATGTGTGTGTGTGATGTGGACCTGTGTTTACAGGTTTTTAGTACCTTCTTGAAACTGTGTTAACATTCTCCCAGTTTATTATGCCATCATAGTGGTAAACGAGAATGCCACACCTGTAGTTAACTCCCAGTTTTTAAATAAAGGATACCACGGTGCATGCTGTCTGTTCAGTCTTTGTAGGCTTCTCTTTTTTTCCATGCCACAAGTTTTCAGATAGATCTTGATGATAAAAACCAACACTGTGCTGCACAAATGTGAAGAACCAGCTTATGTGGTTGTGGTTTACTAAGAAACAGGATAATTTGTGTAGTTCCGTTTATACTGGGTAGTCTAATTTACACATTTAGTTCAAAATCTCGTGTGAGTGTCAGTTTAACATAACTACATTCTAGAAAGGTATCTGTAGTTTCAGGTCCTCATAATGCTAAAAATCTACATGACACATTTTCAGCATATAAAAAAACAACAGCAGCAGGCATATTATTTATCAGGGACGGGCTTGAATTGATAACTTTGGTGCAGTTAGCTATTGACAGCCTGTGTCATGTTGATATTAAAGCCTTTGTTACCAGAAAACTCTCTCTCCTGCTTTATCTGATACAAGACAGTGAGCCCCTGGTTTCTTGAGATGGTCAAGCAGTATTGTAGATATTCTAGAAAATTCAAGACAACATGTCAGATGTTGGGCTAGATGATTCTATGACTTCAAGGTGTTGTCTGTAAAGAAATAAGCCATTTGTCCAGTTAATGGAGATAAACTTTTTCCATTTTTAAAAGCAACTACGATCCACAAATGTTCCTTGTGGGCATTGATTATTTTTAAAGAAAAGAACTATTTTTATCCCTCACTAGTGAAAAGTATATTGTGATCCATTAAAAAAATAAGAACACTCCCCCTCACCCATGATAGTGTCATCCCAAACAAGACAATCCACTGATTCATTATAAATGTCCATGTTAAAAGATGTTTCTATGTATAACTAAAAAGACATGCTGATTGTCAGCTCTAACTTTATTTATATAAAGACTGTCTTTTTATTTTTATCAAAATGTTTGAGTTTTATGCTTTGCTTCACATCTCACCTGCTTCTAATAAAGCTATGCTTAATGACTATTAAGTAGATGATGAATAATTGAATTCTAAGGAAACTCAGTTCCTCGCTTTTCCAGAAAGCACTATTTTCTTTACCTCACGGGACGCCTCTGAATTTTGAAGAAGCAGCTAATGCCTGTGATCACCATTGTGGGGGCTCTCTGCCCTAACTGCATTCTGGGACCCTGGTTAGGTGGGGCTGATCTGGCCAGAGTGATGCCACCATCATTAACTGCACTCCTAAGGGGGCAAGGTGAACAAATCACACCTTTATCACTAACTGTGGGACAAGGATCAGCATGAATCCGGTTCCCACACGGAAATGGATTTATGCTTCTCCTTCTCACTTCTCTAAGATCCTTGATACCAGCCATTTCTTCTGTGGCATTTCCTCTCCCATCCTAACCAGCCACCCGGAACCCGGTCACTGGGAACCAAGCATAGACTCAAGAGTCTGCACAAGTCCCTGCACTGTAAGCCAACCAGCCTTCTGAGGCTAGGTCACAAGCTAGAAGGACTCGATCCTTCCTTGATTGTCTGTGCAGCCTTTCACTGTCATCCAGTCACCCAGAACTGGGTCTCCACAAATCAACAGCCTGCATAGCCCACTTTTGTCCACCAGCCACCAAAAGCTGGTTCCCTGTAAGTTAGAACTCACGTAGGACACTGTGCAGACCTCCTCTGAATTAGCCACCCCAAGATAAATCAGAGTCTCTTTGCTCTTTCTGGATTAGTTACTTCTCTGTAATGGCTCACAGAATTCACAGAGACTAGGTTTGGATTCCTGGTACGGTGCTGTAGGATCGGTACTGACCTGCAAACCACAAGATCAGTGGTTCAAACCCACTAGCTGCTCCTTGGAAACACTATACAGGGTTGCTGTGAGTCAGAACCGGCTCGATGGCACTTCACAACAACAGCATACTTTGTTGAGTGCTGTCGACTCGGTTCTGACTCATAGTGACCCTGTGTAGGGTTTCAGAGGCCTTATCTTTCTCCCCCAAAGTGGCTAGTGGGCTAGAATCACTGACCTGTGATTTGCAGTGCTTTTCCTACAGGAGTCCTGGTGTGGTGCTGCAGGATAAGCACTGGACTACAAGGTTGGTTTGAACTGCAAGGTTGGTGGTTCAAAACTAGTTGCACCTCGGAAACACTTTATAGGGTCGCTGTGAGTTGGAACCAACTTTACAGCACTTAACAAGAGCAACATCCAACAGAGCTACAGAGACTATACTTATGTTGTTATTGTTAATTCCAACCCATAGTGACACTGTATAGGGTCTTCGAGGAACAGCTGTGAGCTTGAACCACCGACCTCCAGTTCAACCAGCTTTGCAGTCTGGTGCATTAACCCACAGCACCACACATGGACTCATACTTAGAGTTACCCATTTAGTATAACCAGAAAGCATGCGAGTAGAGAGACCCATCAGACAAGGTTTGAGAATGTTCCAGCACAGGGTCTCCATTGACCCTAGGGACATGCCACTCTCTCTGGTTCATGGATGTCCTCATTAAACCAGGAGGCCCCAAAGGGAACGCTTCAATGTCCAAAGTCCCTTATTCATTGGGACCTCAATGAGCATGCATGACTTGAGCCTTAATACATTGATACAATCAATGAATACGCATGTCTGTATCATGCCCCCCCTTCTTTCTAGAAGTTAGTCAGCCAAATGTAGGGCCCTGTGGCTATTTTAGAATGATAAAGAGCACCTTGATTGCTCAGGTTATTTTCAGACACTAGATACAAAGGCCAAACCTAGTTCTTTATCCCATAGCCAGAGAGTTGTAAGGAATGTATGTCTCCTCTGGGCAGCACATTCAAGTGCCGCTGCCAGACTCTTCATAATAACAGGCCACATTTGAGATGGCATCTGTTTATCCACCTGGATCCCCAATCAACCCGAAATAGAAGCATAATGCAAGCAAAAAAGGAGACCTTGGTTCTTATAGACCAAAGTCCTTATAGAGTTCTGGGGGTTTTGTGGCTGCAACAAAATGCAGCCTGTTCTTTTACAAGATCATCGCTATAGTCT